GCGCTCGGCCCCCTAGCCTGTCCCAGCCGCAGCGCTCGGCCCAGAACGTGTCTTAACCGAACCTAACCCTAAATAAATAATAATTTAATTGAAAATTGTTTTAAAAGTGGTCATGTACAAAAATTTTGATAGGAGGGGGGTCCAAAAATCGTTCTCTAGGACGGAAACAATAAATAAATAAATAAATAAAATTATAACGTACTTTTGTGAACACTTTTAGTTTTTAACTTTGAACGTTCAAAATTTATATTTATTGTGACAAGTTCAAAATAAAAAATTAAATGTTATGTATAAAATGTTCTCTGCTTAATTCTCTACAATGAAACATAAGAAATAAATTGATAGAAATTATAATTGATTTAAATATTGTTAAGTTCATCCAATTCTTTACTAATCAAAACTTGTAAAGGTTTTATATCTATGTTTTTAAGATCAATGACTAAAAATCATCTTAGCTTCATTTCTCAGGATGATTTAAAAACTGCTTTTTCAAGTTTGTTGAATGAAAATTTCACTATTGTCGATGAAAGAGATTTAAATTATTTTAATTTTAAGAATTTATAATTAACTTTTTAGCTTTTTCATCATAAATTTAAACTTTAATATTTTTGCTTCGACTTCAAAGGGATGATTAGTTTGCCAGGAAAAGTTCAAAATAATTCTTCACAATTTTCATTATTAATAAAAATTGCTTTGAAACCAACATTTTTGCATTCTATTCTTGCATTTTGAATCTATTTTCACACAAAAATGATATACTGAAAAATTGAGATGCATTTATTCCTATATCTTCACAACTAAATTTAGCAAAACTTAGATATTCAAAACTATGAATACTTTTAGATCAAATAGTCAAAGTTTAAAATATCAAATGCTAACATCATCATGTTGCCAAGATATAAGTTTTAGATAATTATGGTTCGGGGCAAGTAATCATAAATAAATTTTTTAAAACCTATTTATCTAGATCAGCACCAGAAGTGTGCCCCCTCAAAGATGGAAATATTCTCAACGTAAAACTCTTTATCAAAGACGATATTGAGTGCAGGTATAGTTTCATCATTTTTAGCGGGTACAGTGGTTCCCTAAATTAAGTGGATTTTATAATAAACATTATAATATACTTTATATATATATATATATATATATATATATATATATATATAAAAAATAAATCAATTTAAGGTGTTCAAGAGTTAAACCAATTACGTCTCTAAGCATAAACAACTATTTGAGCCATTTATTCAATGCAAACTGGGCAGATACCATGAACTTTTTTCAGGACGTCTTCACATCCTACTTTGTTAAATCGACCACTGGAAATTATACAAACCTACAAAAAAAAAAAGTTTGATCACACACATAAATTTTTTTCCACATTTAAGAATTGAACTAATATCAAAATTATTTTTAAACATAAACTTAAATTAGAAATTAAGATTTAAAGATATGATTAAATATTAATTATAAAAAACTAGCCTTTCATAAAATGCACAATTCTTGCTATACATGCGGTATTATTTAGCGCAACGATAAATGTAACTATTAGAAGTTCTCCTGTATAGTCGACGTTCTGTGTCAGGGAGATCCGTCCTGTAACAATTATAAGTTCTCCTATATTCTAGTCGATTTTGTCAAGGAGATCCGTCCTGTAACTATTATAATTTCTCCTGTATTCTAGTCGACTGTGTCAAGGAGATCCGTCCTGTAACTATTATAAGTTCTCCTGTATTCTAGTCGATTTTGTCAAGGAGATCCGTCCTGTAACTATTATAATTTCTCCTGTATTCTAGTCGACTGTGTCAAGATGATCAGTCCTGCAACTATTATAAGTTCTCCTGTATTCTAGTCGACTGTGTCAAGGAGATCCGTCCTACAACTATTATAAGTTCTCCTGTATTCTAGTCGACTGTGTCAAGATGATCCGTCCTGCAACTATTATAAGTTCTCCTGTATTCTAGTCGACTGTGTCAAGGAGATCCGTCCTGCAACTATTATAAGTTCTCCTGTATTCTAGTCGACTGTGTCAAGATGATCCGTCCTGTAACTATTATAAGTTCTCCTGTGTTCTAGTCGATTGTGTCAAGATGATCCGTCCTGTAACTATTATAAGTTCTCCTGTATTCTAGATGATTGTGTCAAGATGATCCGTCCTGTAACTATTATAAGTTCTCCTGTGTTCTAGTCGATTGTGTCAAGATGATCCGTCCTGTAACTATTAAAAGTTCTCCTGTATTCTAGTCGATTGTGTCAAGGAGATCCGTCCTGCAACTATTATAAGTTCTACGCTAGTCTCGACGGAAAACCCCCGCAGTGCTTCTTCTTCGAAACCTGTGGAAAAACGGTAAAAATTCAATTCTTATAATTTTATAGAAAATCTGTGTAACGCTTGCACAGGAAATATCAAAATAACTATTTAAGATATTATTTTTTGTATGCATGTTGCGAATATGAGTTATAGAATTTTTTTTTTATTCTTACAATGTTCCTTTGTTTCTAATTATTAATCTGTTCGGTTCGTTACAAAAAATCAACAAAAAAATCCAAAACAATCCTTATGACAGTGACGTGATACAGACGGAAATCACGTGACCAGTATACTGCACTGCCATTGGCTGAAGTTCTGGTGACGTAATACGGACTATACGCGTTTATGGTTTTTTGCATATATCTTCTGCTAGAGTGAAAATAGTATAAGCAAAGTAAGTGAATAAAATAAGCAATTTTAAAAACATATTTGCCTTCTATCTATACTACATTTGACCCTGAAAACATATTTGCCTTCTATCTATACTACATTTGACCCTGAAAAAAAGGTACAGGCAATAAACGAGCCAACCTAATGCACATCACTACTTGTATAGTCGGATTTTTCTCTCCAGGTGTATGAAGCAGCTCCGGAGTGTGTCCTGAGTAAGGAGAACTGCTTGGGAATCCGTCCCTTCGTCTCCGGGAAGGATAAGTGTATGGAAGCTTGTCAGAACCATCGTCAATGTGGATACTATAAATATGTTCCAGGTCAGTATAAATATGTTCCAGGTCAGTCGAAATATGTTCCAGGTCAGTAGAAATATGTTCCAGGTCAGTAGAAATATGTTCCAGGTCAGTAGAAATATGTTCCAGGTCAGTAGAAATATGGTCCAGGTCAGTAGAAATATGTTCCAGGTCAGTAGAAAAATGGTCCAGGTCAGAAGAAATATGTTCCAGGTCAGTAGAAATATGTTCCAGGTCAGTAGAAATATGGTCCAGGTCGGAAGAAATATGTTCCAGGTCAGTAGAAATATATTCCAGGTCAGTAGAAATATATTCTAGGTCAGTAGAAATATGTTCAAGGTCAGTATAAACATGTTCCAGGCCAATAGAAATATGTTCCAGGTCAGTAGAAATATGTTCCAGGTCAGTAGAAATATGTTCCAGGTCAGTAGAAATATGTTCCAGGTCAGTCGAAATATGTTCCAGGTCAGTAGAAATATGTACCAGGTCAGTAGAAATATGTTCCAGGAATTCTGCATACGCCACTCTGATAGGTTGAATTTTAGACATTTTCCTGGATAACTACTGTAGATTAAAATAATCTTAAGATTAACAAAAAGAGGAGATCAAGCATTTCCATATCCACAATTCTAAAGTTTGCAGCTTTGAACTATGAAGTGTGTTGACGCAAGACAGGAATTTTAAGATATAATTTAATTAAACTATGAATTGGTTGTTACTATTTCCACTTCTATCTGACGTTTCGGAACAAAGATTTGTTATCAACAGACCGCCAAAATCTTGAGAAATTGTCTAGTAATAGTCGCCATTTTGCGCTGTCAGAAAGAAAAGAAATTAAACATTTGGTTTATCTCAAACTCGAGTTTTCGCATAAATTTTCGTCATTGGTAAGGTACGAGAGGAGAGAAAGTGAGAACAAAAAAATTATTTTTCAAAGAAGTTTTATTTAAATTTGCGCAAAAGTGTTGTTTTATTTCATTAAGCGTAAATATTTTATTTCATTAAGCGTAAATGTTTTTTATTTCATTAAGCGTAAATGTTTTATTTCATTAAGCGTAAATGTTTTTATTTCATTAGGCGTACATGTTGTTTTATTTCATTAGGCGTACATGTTGTTTTATTTCATTAAGCGTAAATGTTGTTTTATTTTATTAAGCGTACATGTTGTTTTATTTCATTAGGCGTACATGTTGTTTTATTTCAGTAAGCGTACATGTTGTTTTATTTAATTAGGCGTACATGTTGTTTTATTTCATTAGGCGTACATGTTGTTTTATTTCATTAGGCGTAAAAGTTGTTTTATTTCATTAGGCGTAAATGTTGTTTTATTTCATTAGGCGTAAATGTTGTTTTATTTCATTAAGCGTAAATGTTATTTTATTTCATTAAGCGTAAATGTTGTTTTATTTCATTAAGCGTAAATGTTGTTTTATTTCATTAAGCGTAATGTTGTTTTATTTCATTAGGCGTACATGTTGTTTTATTTCATTAGGCGTGCATGTTGTTTTGTTTCATTAGGCGTACATGTTGTTTTATTTCATTAGGCGTACATGTTGTTTTGTTTCATTAGGCGTACATGTTGTTTTATTTCATTAAGCGTAAATGTTGTTTTATTTCATTAAGCGTAAATGTTGTTTTATTTTATTAGGCGTACATGCTGTTTTATTTCATTAGGCGTACATGTTGTTTTATTTCATTAGGCGTACATATTGTTTTATTTCATTAAGCGTAAATGTTGTTTTATTTCATTAAGCGTAAATGTTGTTTTATTTCATTAAGCGTAAATGTTTTTTTAATTATATGCTTTAATCAATGAATCATTCTTTAAAATTAATTTCACAAATCAATGCCGCAAATGGTTTTAAGAAAACAACAATTCTTTATTTTCTTGTCAAGGAATGATCATGCTTACTGGGTCACCCTGTATAATTGTCAGGTTTACTGGGCCACCCTGTATAATTGTCAGGTTTACTGGGACACCCTGTATAATTGTCAGGTTTACTGGGACACACCTTGTATAATTGTCAGGTTTACTGGATCACCCTGTATAAATGTCAGGTTTACTGGATTAGCTTGTATAATTGTCAGGTTCACATTAGACACCCTGTATAATTGAATACAAATATAGATTGTTTACGAAGGGTAGAAAAGTGCTAGTTTATGTGAGGGCTGAGTAATAATTTAATAAACGGACCGGTTGACCTAATTGTTTAAGTTTGGGTCCAGTCCCCAGGGGCGTCAAATATTATTTTTTCCCACAGAAAATTTCAAATTTTAAATATTTTTTGTGTGCATTGTGGAAAGATGTATTTTGTACGTTTTTATGTTTTGAGTTTGTGAGTTTGTGAGTTTGTTGACCCTACACTTCAATTTACACATTCAGTGGATTTATTGATTTTTATCTTTTCATTAATAATAGATTTAACCTTTCACATTCGCTCTACACTTCGTGCATTCCCCCCCTCTATATCATTTTCCTTAATTACTAGTATACATGCAATTTGCAAAAAAATGTCATTCCTCTTAAGGGACTGTTAACATACTTTAAACATTATTCGTCTAAGCAAAAATTTTTTCTTTCAGAAAATTGATAATTTTAAATCGTAAACTGTGACATAGACAAAGAAATAAATCAAAAGAATTCAAAACTTTTTCAAATAGAATAAATTTAATTGTGAGCTAAATAAATTGTGGGCTTATTTAATTGTGAGCTAAATAAATTGTGAGCTCATTTAATTGTGAGCTAAATAAATTGTGAGCTCATTTAATTGTTAGCTAAATAAATTGTGAGCTCATTTAATTGTAAGCTCATTAAATTGTGAGCTCAGTTAATTGTGGGCTCATTTAATTGTGAGCTCATTTAATTGTGAGCTTATTTAATTGTGAGCTCATTAAATTGTGAGCTTATTTAATTGTGAGCTCATTAAATTGTAAGCTCATTTAATTGTGAGCTCATTAAATTGTGAGCTCAGTCAATTGTGGGCTCATTTCATTGCAAGCTCATTTAATTGTGAGCTCATTTAATTGTGAGCCAGTTAATTGTGGGCTCATTTCATTGTAAGCTCATTTAATTGTGAGCTCATTTAATTGTGAGCTCAGCTAATTGTGGGCTCATTTCATTGTAAGCTCATTTAATTGTGAGCTCATTTAATTGTGACCTCAGTTAATTGTGAGCTCAGTTAAATGTAAGCTCATTTAATTGTGAGCTCATTTAATTGTGAACTTATTTAATTGTGGGCTCATTTAATTTTGAACTCATTTAATTGTGAGCTTATTTAGTTGTGGGCTCATTTAATTGTAAGCTCATTTAATTGTAAGCTCGCATTTAATTGTGGGCTCACTTGAACATGTAAATGTATTTAGATTTGAATTTGGCAAAATATATGTTTGAAAGCCTTTGGTTGAATTTGATGTTCTTAATTTTTATTAGAGAAAAAAACTGTGGCGATAAATAACCCCCGGCCCCCCATCCTGAGTTGTGCCTAAAATATCTATGTTATAAAAGCAAAATTTACAAAATAAGTCCAAAAAAAAGGAGTAAGAGACTAGATTATGATCTCTGAAATATTCAAAATATAAAGCTCAACAAAAAGGTATAAAATAGCAGATACGAAAAATCTACATTTAATGGGTGAAAATGGGTTTTAAAGGTTAGACTCACTGGACTCTAATCCAGAACATTTAGTTTTCTGTGGTGTTGGAATTAAAACTTTTTTTTACGAAATAAAAATTATAAAGTTCAATAACCTTACAAACTTTTGTTTAACTAAATTTATTTTCTAAAATTTATGATTAAATTTTAATATTTGATTAAATAGTTTTTAAAAACCTAAATTAAATCATAAAAGGTTAATTTATTTATAAAATAGCGACAAAGTTTAATTAAAAACAAACTCTATATGAGTAATTACACATTCTTATATGAATCAAAATATAGTTTTTGTATAAGACCTCTATGTTTTTAGGAGTATTTAATAGAAATAACAACTACCAACAAAGCACTTTTATACAAACACATTTTTGGATTTACTGCAACCTTTTTAATTATAATGTAGATTATAAAATTATGATTAAATTAAATTATCAAATTATGATGTAGACTTTTTATGTATATTTTCAACCATGAATTCTGTTAGATCAAAAGGTCTAAGTAAGGAATATTCTAGGTATAAACATCAGGTTGAAAAGATATAGGGGTTAGAAAATTTTAGTTTTTCGTAAAAACTCAGTTCCTTAATAGTTCTATCTGGTTTTTTGCACAAAATAACTATAAAATCGATATATAAATAAAACTAAGAAACTGAGCCATTCTTTTTTTACCAATTTTTTCTGCTTGGTTTTTTCATGACTCAATGTTGTATACTTTCCTTAAATTTATTACATTCAATAATTATAGTACAATAAACTTAATTCCTAGTATTCGATTCATCTACTTATAATTAATCTTTTTTATAATGTTTTTGATATTAATTGTCAAGTTTGAATGCAAACTCGCCACTATATCTATATCTTTGCAACCTGATAATGTAAACTTTTGATATTTAAAACTTTGAATATTTGACGTAACAGAATTCGTAGTTTGAAGTATCAAATATCATAAACCAACTTAGATTTGTAGAACCAATTCAAGAGCATTTTGAGGTTCTACATACAGAGCTCCCAAATTAACATTTTAGACGAATCGGTTAAGGGGTTCATGAGTTATGATCGGACATATAAAGATTATTATTTTTTGTATATACAGATACCAGAATTTTAAAATGTTTGATCTGAAAATGATATTAACGACAAACTCTATGTACTTTTATTTGTTATTAAAAATGCAACAAAGTTCCCCCCCCCCCCCCCCCCCTCCTGCTGTCAGTTTTCTATGAATCCTGCTTTCCTTTGGTGGCTGACAAGGGTTAAATACACTACACTTGACATGCTTTCTTTTAATTTGATTAATATGAAACCAACTTGGCGGCCAGACTCAACTATTTATCAACTCTAGGTTCTAATATCTAGTTCAAAAACAAATGTTTAACACCAAAAACAAGTTTAATTCAAAGGCTTAACAACCTCGTAAATATGAATAAAAAGGGGGCATTGAACTTAACGAAATATGAGTCAAAGTATATATAAAAGAAACAAAATAGAGGAAAAAAGGGAAAACAAAAAAAACAGAAAAAGAAAAAAAGCACAAATTTTTTAAGAAAATGGATAAAAACAGAAACAGAAAAGAGAACAAGGACCGAACTTTTGTTTAAGATGGAGCTTAACCCCCTTAATTTAATCTCCACTGCATAAACTTTTGAATTTAAGGGTTTAACGCCTGAAGCCAGAGAAAGTTGTTTATCCCTGGCATCGTCTAGCCAGAAAAGATTTTTCAAAGTCTAAAATTTAGCCATCAAGGGGTATGGAACGTTCTGAGCGCTGATCAAAAGTCTCGCCGACATCGGAACGGAAAAAATAAAGAATTATAAAAAATTATATAAAAGAAACCAAAATGAAAATGAATGTTTAGGAGAACTAGAGATAAATGAAAATGTATGTTTAGGAGAACTAGAGATAAATGAAAATGTGTATTTAGGAGAACTAGAGATAAATGAAAATGTATATGTAGGAGAACTAGAGATAATTGAAAATGTATATTTAGGAGAAGTAGAGATAAATGAAAATGTATGTTTAGGAGAACTAGAGATAAATGAAAATGTATGTTTAGGAGAACTAGAGATAAATGAAAATGTATGTTTAGGAGAACTAGAGATAAATGAAGAAGAAGAGGGTTCAGGAGATATTATCCCTAAAGGAAGGCAGATTCCTATTGCCCGACTAGCAGGTAAATTAAAGGAACTCGAGGCGTAATTCATTTAAAGATTAGAACGGTACCCTTTAAACTTCTAGTTAAGTAGCTATTGGGAATTTTTCGTCATTTTGCATTGCATTTGCGAATAGTTTTACTAAAAACCTCTTTATCTATGAAACAAAGAGACTTTTTGTTCTTATTTTTGGTCAGCATATATTTTTTTATTCTATTAAAATTCTTTGCTAACATAAAAAGGCAGACAAAGCTTTAAAAATGTTATTTTAAAGAATTCCAGATTATCATTAAAGTATATTTCTTTGTTGTTAACTCTGTATTTCTGTAGACGCGGATACTCCCCAGTTCTGCTACCTGCTCAGCTCCTGCTCTAAGAGGATGATAGAGAACGTGTTGTGCACTATCGGAGCAAACAATTTCCTAGACGTCAAGCTTTTTGTCCCAAGCTTAGCTGCATGTCAACTGCATTGCGATCAAACCGACGATTGTAGGTAGGATCGCCGGAATATTAGTAAACATTAGCTAGGATCGTTATGATATTAGCTACAGTAGGACGGATTGCAGGGAGATCAGAGATATTAGTATACAGTAGGACGGATTTGGCGGAGATCAGAGATGTTAGTATACAGTAGGACGGATTGCAGGGAGGTCAGAGATAATAGTATACAGAAGGACGGATTTGGGGGAGATCAGAAATATTAGCTACAGTAGGATGGATTGCAGGGAGATCAGAGAAATTAGTATACAGTAGGACGGATTGCAGGGAGATCAGAGAAATTAGTATACAGTAGGACAGATTGCAGGGAGATCAGAGATATTAGTATACAGCAAGACGGATTGGGGGGAGATTAGAGATATTAGTATACAGTGGGACGGATTGCATGGAGATAAGAGATATTAGTATACAGTAGGACGGATTGCAGGGAGATTAGAGATATTGGTATACAGTAGGACGGATTGTAGGGAGCTCAGAGATATTAGTATACAGTGGGACGTATTGAGGGGGGGGGGAATCAAAGATATTAGTATACAATAGGATAGATTGCAGGGAGGATTGGTGATATTAGTGTACAGTAGGACGGATTGAGGGAAGATTAGAGATATTGGTATACAGTAGGACAGATTGCAGTGAGATCAGAGAAATTAGTATACAGTAGGACGGATTGCAGGGAGATCAGAGATATTAGCATACAGTGGGACGGATATTGCAGGGAGATTAGAGATATTAGTGTAGGACGGATTGCAGGGAGATCAGAGATACTAATAAAAAGTAGGACGGATTGCAGGGAGATTAGAGATATTAGTATACATTAGATCTGATTGGAGGGAAATCAGAGATATTAGTATACAATAGGATAGATTGCAGGGAGGATTGGTTATATTAGTATACAGTAGGACGGATTTCAGGGAGATCAGAGATTTTAGTAAACAGTAGGACGGGTTGGGGGGAAATCAGAGATATTAGTATACAGTAGGACGGATTTGGGGGAGATAAGAGATATTAGTATACAGCAAGACGGATTGGGGGGAGATTAGAGATATTAGTATACAGTGGGACGGATTGGAGGGAGATCAGAGATATTAGTATACAGTAGGATGGATTGCAGGGAGATAGAGATATTAGTATACAGTAGGACGGATTGCAGGGAGATAGAGATATTAGTATACAGTAGGATGGATGGCAGGAAGATAGAGATATTAATAAACAGTAGGACAGATTGGGGGAAAAAGATATAAGGAAAATCTAGGATTGATGATTGATGAAATTAAATAATCTCGCTTTATTTTCTTTGTAGACTTAGCTATGTATTTTCTGGTTTCTAAAATTACTTTGTATTCTCCGTGGGTCCTAAAACTGTTCTGATTTCTCCGCGTCCGAAAACTACATTTTTTTCGTTAGGTCCAAAAACTACTTTGTAATCTCCAGATCTTAATACTTTTCACAGGTTCTTAAAAGTTCTTATTTTCCAGGTACTACTATTGGTATCCTATCGACTACTCCGCTGCTCCTCTCTACTGCTATCTCTTCCGCTCATGCGCAGTCAATGACGACGAACCGGAAGTCGCATTTGTGGTTGGAGGTCGACATCCGGGACATTACTTTATCGACAGCGACAACTTTAACGACGTTGTCACCAGGTAATTGAAAAAAAAACATCTTTAAAAACTGTCGAACTAATCAAGAATTTTAATAAATATATAATTTCTTGTTTCTAGAACGGATGTTTGTCCTGTGAGAATAAGTCCTGCTGATGCTAGAGTTAAAAGAGCCGGAGCATCTGCAATCTACATCAAAGGATCTGTCCTGCTCTGTGGAGGACGGAGCGGAGAAGTAACCTTCTCCGATTGTCTCAGCTACGACCTGGAGACAGAAATCTGGAGCGATCACAGCACACTTCGCCGACCTAGAGACGAATCCGCGATGGCAAAGATCGGAGGTCAGGTTCTCCTGATTGGAGGTCTATATGAGTCCTCGGTTGAGGTTTGGGATGCACAGGAGAGTGTCTGGAAAGCTGGTTCCGAGCTCCCAAATGTGATTGCACGTGGCTGTGCCGTGAGCAACGGAGAAATGGTGATTTTAACGGGCGGACACACAAACACCTCCACGGAATCCCTGGCAACAACCCTGATGCTCTCAACGGAGACCGGAGGCTGGACGGAGATCAAGAGTATGATGGTACCAAGGAGGGATCACGCCTGTATCTTCATGGAACTGGAGAGAACCACGGGGGTTCTTGTCTCCGGAGGTTTGGGTGAGAACGACGAGGTTCTGGATAGTGCTGAATTTCTGAACCTGGACACTAAGGAGTGGACGAAGGTTTCCCCTCTCAAGATTCCTAGGACAGAACACACCATGAGCTTGGTCTACGGGATACCAACCGTTATAGGTAGTTTTTCATCTTTAAAAGTGATTATTGATTTAAGAACTCTTAGTTCACATGAAACATTCATATTCTTATGAAAAGAAAAATACATTTTGTAAATATTTACTACCTTTTTCTTCTCTTTAAGAAATACTGTTAAAATGTACATGTAGACCAAGGTACTAATGCAAGGAACGCTATTTCAGAGGCGTACGCATTTTTTTGTACTGCAGTGTACTGTCTTTTGGGCGGAAAAGTAAACACAAGACGGATGTCACAGCCTGACGTGGAATCCATTTTCACAAAAATAATCTATGAAATATTCTGGTCATGGAAACTACTATGTGAATTTTTAAAATACTAAACGAACACTGATGCATCTTTTCTTGTTTACAAATTCCGCCCAGAGAGAACTGATTTCAATATGTAAACAGAGTAACGCGACCGCAATTAACTTTCCTTGCATTAGTACCTTGTTGTAGACGTAGTATTAAGTGAACTTCCGGTTAAAAAATGGCATGTACGATTTACAACGGTTTACGCGTATACTATAGTCCCTGTAACGTGATTTTCTGTTTAATATTGAGTTCCATCATTTAGGTGGAGTAAATGGAGATGAGTTCCTCTCAAGCATGGAACAGTTTGACAAGAGTGGACAAAGTTGGAACGTTCCATTACAACGTGATTGGAGGATTATCAACCATGTTCTCAACGTTCCAAGGTACTATTTTAACTCTTTTTAAAAAAAAGAAAACTCGTAACAATTCTATTTGATCTTTAAGAAATTGAGTTTTTACCAAAAAATGTGGTAGACCTTAGATATTTCAAACTTTGAATTCTGTTAGATCTAATCTTCTAAGTTTAAAAAGGTTTAGTTAGACCATTAGGTTGCAAAGATAAAGGGATTAGACAATTTGAGTTTGTGGCAAATACTCAATTTCTTTCAGAAAAAGAGACAAAGAAGCTGAACACTTTCCTCAAACTTAAATTGTCTATTCTCTATATCTTGAATATCTCAAACTAAACAATACTGATTGAAATATTAACTTAAATTGTCTATTCTCTATATCTTGAATATCTCAAACTAAACAATACTGATTGAAATATTAACTTTTTCAATACCAAAGGTTAACATTATCAGGTTACAAAAATAAGATATTAGAAAATTTGAGTTTAGGAAAGTAATCCGTTCCATGCTTAAATGAAAGATAATTCATGAATATATTTTAAAAAAATTAAAGCTATTCTAAAAATGCAAAATTATTGTGTATGTCAAAAGAAATCGTGGTTTCAAAAAAATATTTAATTTCAGATACGAGCATGCGGTAGCAAGTGTTCCAATAAGCAAGGTATAAAAAATAAAATAGAAACAAATCATTTAAAAATAAACGAAATAAAAACATACAAAATTTTAAAAAACCTTTGACTTAAACGAAATATCTGAAGGAAAAAAATTATTAAAATTTGATTTATTTGATTTCATATTTGAAATCTGGGAAATCACCAAAAAAAAGTAATATGATAAATTAAACATTATTGTCTTGCTTATATGATTACGTTTAACTCATTGTGTAGAAAGGAATTGAGTCTTTGCCACAAACTCTGCTTTTATAATCCCTATATCTTTGCAACCAAAGTCGTGGATCAAGTTGCAAAGGTCAGGCTGGTTAAGTCATTGAAAACTCATTTCTTTATCAGTTCTACCCCCTAATACGTCACATAAAGATGTAAACAACCCAATTCAGTTCTACTTCATCTCCACCTTACAACAAAACCTTAAAACCTTAATGGGACTGTTAAGGTAAAATGAAAGGGGGTTTAGGGTAATATTTTAGGAGTTGGATAATATTTCTAGTTGATGTCCCTGTCTCGAGAAATTGATATAAAACTGTGTCAAAGTTCTATGAAAACTCATAAATACATGATATGGTATTTGAATCAGAGTTTAAACAGACCATATTCAGCAAATACGGAACGAATCCAAACCTGCTCCAATTATAATGTGAATATATACATATTCATTTTTTATAGATATAATTTCTACCAATGGCAGTGCAGTATGTTATCACGTGGCTCCGTCTGTATTTCCACCATAAAACTTGGACAAAGCTTTTTATTTCGATTTCTCGAGACAGGGACTCAAATAGAACTATTAGCAGTCGCGATCAACGTATAGAATTTTTAGGCTTTAGCCTATACTCCCTTTAACTTTACCTTAACAGTCCCTTTAAACAATAATTCCCTCCACCTTAGTTCTCTACTATCATTGGGTTATATTTAGATGAACACCGAGTGTGACGCGGAAATGAACATCATCGTCTGAGGAACTTGGGGACACACTGCCCCCTGCTACTGGTCAAACAACAACAACATCAAAATAAACAACAACAACAACAACAGACTCATCCATCACCAACCTGAAACTGATCTCCTGGAAATAGAACGGTATTTCAAGCTTGCTCAGTATATTGAAAATACTACTGAGCGTGTGTTCGATACAACTGAAGATACATATAAAAATATTAACAATTTCACAGTTTTTGAAGACGATGTTTTTAACTCCACGCTGTCTCACCCAGTCCCCAAAACATATTCTCATTTTCCTGAAAGCAAGATTTTTGGTTTTCAAATTGATTTGCTGAACATTAGTGGCATTAATGCCGCAATAGATTCTCAAAAAAGTTTGATTTTCTCCGAGGAAAACGATGCACCGTTGAAGGTGACTAATCAATCAATCAATTATATTCTTAGTTTTTCATTGCCCCTTGTTTTCATAGCATTACTTACTGTAGTAATAATTCTTCTCCGAGTTCGGATAATGAAGATGCTTCGCGCCACATGCTTGAACTCTGATAACAGGGTTCATCCAGAGCCGGAGACACGATTATTCGAACCAGGACGAGTCTTACTCCAAGATAAGGACGGATCAAAGGCCGAATCCTTATTTACTCCGGGTCCACAGAACAGAGTTAAAATCACTGATATTTCGGATTAAAATTTAATCTTAACCGTTTTATTTGTCAAGTTAGAGCGATGCAATTAAATGATATTTTCAAATTTATTTTTAATTTTGGAATTGAGTTTTTGCGACAATCATGTACAGTGTACAGTGTACATTATGTAAAAATTAATGCTTTGTACAATATAATCTGTTCAAATATGTTTGTTCCTGATACCTATAAATTAAGCTGCCGCTTGTACATTTCTGCAAATAAAATAATTTTTTTTAGAAATTGTATTTTATCAATAATATTTTACGTATGTAGGTATTATGAGAATACGTAGTTATATACCATATATATATATATATATATACCACTACTTAAACATGAAATTGTTGAGTTTAAATAATAATAGATGTGTTTATACAAAATAAAAAACAAAAGGTTTAATGTCTAAAACAGTTTTCCACCTTCAAAAATAAAACTTATTTTTCTAATCAAAGTCAAAAAAAGTTATACATTTCGCAAAGTAAAGTTTATTAAATGAAACTTTTTATTTGCTACAGTGGTCGGCGATAATATCAATACAATGAAGACGACTTTTCTATTTAAGTTTTGATTTATAACAAGCTGTAAACAAAGAGAAGCTGTTAATTGAAAGCTTCTCTTTGTTTACATGTTTATGTGTATCCATGCTACTTAAAAACTTGGTAGGAATCAAAAATTTAAATCTAAAGTTGTCTTCATTGTATTGTTGTATACGACGAAGACTGTACAGTGTACACGGGCAGCCATAGTAAATTTAAATTTCCGAGCCGGGTCAACCTTTCCGGTCCCAGTTTGTACTGTATCACCCGGACATTGGGTAAATATGGCAGACACTCAATAGGACTATAGATGGTGCAACAAGATTGACGCAGTCAGACATTAGGTTGAATTTACTTTTAATCAAGGAGAAATGAATACAAGGAGGGGGCAATAGGGTTTCCGTACACTTTGCTGTGACGTATTTGGACTACCGGAGAACTAGTTTTTGCGTAACAACAATAATAAAGGCAGCCGATCTAATGTAAACAAACATGAGTTAGTATACGGTGAATCTTCATCTAACGCCAGAGATGCACCAATGTCTGTTTATCATTTGTGTTATTGTTTACAATATTTATTATTGTTATCACACAAAAACTAGTTCTCCAGCAGTCCAAATACGTCACAGCAAAGTGTACGGAAACCCTATTGCCCCTTCCTTGTATTCAATTCTCCTTGCTTTTACTGAAAGGTCAGGGGTGCGTGTGTATATTATAATATTACAAAGTTTAATGATTTGCTTAAATATGACCTCAATGAATATCCCTGGAGTTTATAGTATAGTTGATTTCTGCTGAATCAACAATTTAAACAAAATTTAAACATTTTCCTAATTTTAAGATTATTAAATTAACTCTTTTTTTGTAGTTTAATACCTTTATTTCCATAGTTTGTAAATAAAAATGTCATTATTATTATTATAATTATTATTATAATTTTCAAGGTATAAGATATTAATAAGTGTTCGACTATATGTGAGTAAAAATCCAGGTATTAAAAGTGCTGACCTATGATTCCTGGGTCAACTAGCTGATGTGCTGACTCAAGCTAGACTAGTGGTCAGAGAGAGATTAACAGTCAAGGTATACATACACTATACAGTGCATGCGTTAGAAAATAGAAAATGATCAAAATAATTTGGAAGCATTTTGTTCAAATATGAGAATATTTTATTTTGTAATTTTATCGAAATTTTCAATATTTCTCTCAACAAACTTTCTAAACACAGAGTTAAAAATGTGTAAGATATTTCAAAATTTTGTTTCGAATTCTAATGAAATATTCCTCATTTCGAATAAATGTAAGGAACAAGACAGTGCAGTCGTCTTTGAAGTCTCATGCCTTTTGGGTAACGCAGTAGCTCACGTTTTGTATATCTCTTGAAACCAATACCATCATATATATAAATACAATATGTAATCCGGTTGAAAAGAATATATTAAAGCTATAGAAAACATATCTATATATAAAGTTGTAATCTCTGTTTGTCTGTTTGTTTGCATGTCCGATCATAACCCATGATCCCCTAGAAAATTTGACTCAAATTTTGATTGAGGAACTCGGGAGAACCACGGAAATGGTCTTAGCTTGGTTTTGAGATTCAAAGTTAAGTGGGTCGACTTTTATATGAAAATATAGCTAAAATTGTAATTTAAGATTAAGCGTGAGTTAATTTTTTGATTTTGAGTTAAACTTCTCAAAGAGAGAGAGGACGACTTTAACTCTTCTGATTTAGTTTTGACATTTAAAATTTCCGAGCTCTGGTTTAAATATCAAGTTTTATCCATTTTATTTTCTCAAACGCATACAGATGGATAATGAGAATTGAGCCTGAATCGGCCGGGACCCAGAAAGTAAAAAAGGAATTGAAATGAAAAAAATCCAATTAAACCAAACTATTTCAATATGATACAAACTGTCAATTTACTAAATTAATGACAAACATGTACACAAACATGTACACAAACATGTACACAAACATGTACACAAACATGTACACAAACATGTACACAAACATGTACACAAACATGTGCACAAAAATGTAAACAATTATGTACACAAACATGTTACACAAACAACGATCTGGCTTGCTAGCGATTTCTCCAGATATTTATTTTTTTGTGATTTGCTTGAAGCAAGTTCTTGGACTTATTTATTTACCAACACAGAATAGGGTTCAATAAATTAGTTTTAATGTTCAGAGAATTCCTATTCCACGAGCTCAACATACAAACAATCTTTTCCAACGACTTAAAACAATTTCAAACCAGTCTAAACTAGTCTAAACCAGTCTAAACTAGGCTAAATAAGTCTAAACTAATTTAAATAAGACTAAACCTGCCTACACCATGAATTGTTGAACCAGTCTAAAATTGTTTAAACCAGTCTAAACCTGTCCAAACCAGTCTGAACTAGTGTAAACCAGTCTAAACCTGTCTAAACTAGTTTTAACCAGTCTAAACCAGTCTAAACCAGTCTAAACTAGTCTAAATAAGCCTAAACCTGCCTACACCATGAATTGTTGAACCAGTCTAAACCAGTCTGAACTAGTGTAAACCAGTCTAAACCTGTCTAAACTAGTTTTAACCAGTCTAACCCAGTCTAAACTAGTATAAAACAGTCTAAAGGAGTATAAACCAGTTTAAACTAGTATAAACTAGTCTAAACCTGTCTAGAATAGTTTTAACCTGTAAAAACCACTCAAATCTAGTATAAACCAGTCTAAACCTGTCTAAACAAGTCTAAACCAGTCTAAACTAGTCTAAACCAGTCTAAACTAGTATAACCCAGCCTAAACCTGTCTAGACTAGTTTTAACCAGTCTAAACTAATCTAAATTAGCTTAAACCAGCCTTATCCAGTTGAAATATTTCATGACGTAAACCTGTCTTACTCATAAAAAAACATAAACGAAATTAAATCTATTTTTAGAAAGATGGGAGATGAAGAAGGACACGATCCTGAGTTCGATTTGATCGTCGAGGCGACAGGGCTCGACATGGAGCAGGTCGAAGCTCTCAAGAAGGGGTTCGAGGGGTTCGACAAGGTTGGATTTATCATTATTGTCATTATGATTATTATTGTTATTATTACTATTATTATTATTAATATCATTATTATTATTATTACTAATATTATTATTAATATTATTATTATTATTATTATTATTATTATTATTATTATCATTATTATTATTATTATTATTAGTTTTATTATTATTATTATTAAGATTATTATTACTATAATTATTTTTATTATAATTATCATTAATATTATCAACACTTATATTATTATTATTATTATTATTATTATTATTATTATTATTATTATTATTATTATTATTATTATTATTATTATTATTATTATTATTATTATTATTATTATTATTATTATTATTATTATTATTATTATTATTATTATTATTATTATTATTATTATTATTATTATTATTATTATTNGTCGATCTTACTAATTATATCCTTACAAAAGAAAATGAAAAGATAAAAACTAAATTATATTTATCATGTTAGTCTTCTGACTGTAGGGATAAGGAATAAAATAAAAGAATATATTATATATATTTTTATACTTTATACTTATTGGAAAGAGTTTGCAATTTAAGCATGGTACTGAGTAAGTTGTACATTATTCATTTAGACTTTAAGAGGCAAAACGAGACATTAAACAAAATGAATCACCCCTTTCTAGTGAGAATAATGGGGTGTATTAAATAAGATTAAATTTCTCCACCCCATCTCCCCCCTTCCCCCTTTTGGACAAATTTTGTATACACCCCTGTTTGTGACTTTATTTTGGACTAAAGCATTCACATTTTGGCGCAAACTTCAAAACAAGCTCCGATCTTCTTAGTTTACATAAATAAGTTTTTTGACGTGAAATAAATTGTTTGAACAATTGTCAATTACTCGGATTTCTTGAAAATCTCATGAAGATAAAAAAAAAAAAAAATGACATTGTGCATTCAGTCTGTTCCTTTGTTTACTTTTTTGTCTGCGAATAACAAAGGTTATATGTAAAGCTATCTCTAGGATAGATTGATCAAGAAAAATACATCAAGATAATTGCTTTTCTTCGAATACAGAATCATTTATTATACAAATTAAAGGGAGTGTTCGTGAAAAAATAAAGGGGGTATAGACTTACTGCAAAAAATAATCGCTTTTGATCGCTACTAATCTTACTTCTATTTGTTGCGTCTATTAGGAGAAATTTGTTATAAACGACCTAAACTGAAGAACGTAGCGTCCATGCAAATTCAGAAAGTTTCGATATACGACTTGGATCGGAAAAAATCAAATTAATGTCAAACAAATCATTCAGATATTACAACCTATAGTCATCGATTATTTTTCGACGCATTCGTATATAGTTAAAAAAAATACTCTCTTTTGGACTGGTTGGAGAAAAAATAATCACTATTAAACCAATTTGTAAAAATACTTACTATTAGAACGGTTCTTAAAAACATTAGACCGATTCATGAAAACAATTGATTAACCAGGTTATTGTCCAGGTTGATGAGGCGGGGACAGGGAAGTTCACCTTCATCCACTTCTGCACCATTGCCGCCAGGTTCATGATAGAGGATGACGAGGAGCAGATGAAGGAGGAGCTGAAGGAGGCGTTCAGGATCTATGACAGGGATGGTGAGGGATTCATCACAACAGAGGTAGAAAATATGAATTCAAAATAATAATTTTTTAAAAGGAGTGTCAAACATTTTATACAACACTATTGTCATCTCAGAATATCAGGGAGTATAAAAGTTCTACTAAATTCGTACTGTTTTCTTCTACTGTATTCCAACCCATTGATTGGCTATATTTCAATATTTCATTAACAGTACGACATTATCTCCGTATCCGCCTAGCTTTTATTTTCATTTACATATATTTAGTTTTAAAGATCTTGTATTTTAAAGATTTTCAATATTTTTTGCGGCTAAAAAAGTTATGTTTTTAGACGTTTTTTTATACGCATTTAAAGTACGGAAGAAATGCAATAATTTTATCAGTAGAAGGGTTTAGGGCAACCGTTGTCAATTGATTGTGACACTTTTAATCAAAGTAGGTTTAGAAAGTTAAAGGTTCCCAATTAAACGATTTTTAATGATTTATTCCCGACATTTTTCTCTTTTTATTGCAGTGCTTTCTTAATCAAGAGATTTAATTGAAAGTAATATCATAAAACAGATTAAATCTTTAATTTGTTTTATATAATTGAAAAACATCTATTAGATAAATTGGCTTATTCTACGCATCCTTAACTGATCGTTTTTGTTCTGTACCTTTATAATTATATAATGCAAGAAGAACATTTTATTAAGATAAAAAAAAGCACAATATAGGCAAAAGAAAAACATTTAAAAATTTTCAGAATCCCTTTTGTGAACAAGCTAATTTCTTACTGCAAATGTTTACAAACCGACCAAAGTTTTCTATCAACAAGAAATTTAATCTTTATAATATACAATTGGTTTACATCATACACAATACAATGATAATCAGAAAACTCTGAAATAGAAAGACGACTTTATAGCAATACTTGTATTCTTTGTTGTTACAAAGCAAATAGTTTTACTAGACACTTATTAAAACACTAATGAAGTGAAATGGGTCTGTTTACACTGCACAATTGATTTTTCCCGTACTAATTGGACAATTCAAAGTCAAAACTTGATTCTAAAAGGTGGCTTCCTAACTCAATATCTTCTGGTTATTACTGTACATCACTTGTTTGTTTAAATATTTTCTTAAATTTAGGTTCTGAAAGAAATCCTCCGTGAGATCGACAGTACACTTACAGAGGATGACCTCGACAACATCATAGAGGAGGTCGACGAGGACGGAAGCGGGACCATGGACTTCGACGAGTTTGTCGGCATGATGATGGGATAAATCCGCCATTTTCTTTTCTCTCTCTCTCTTCTACTCTCTCTCCAAGATCCCAAATCAAGAAACAGCTGACTGTGGTATCTTTCTATCATCAACCACGTGGTTTAAGTTTTCGATATTTGTTTTAACTGTTCTCAATTTCAAAATATACGTTAATTTTAAATGTTTTGTAAACGTTTCTTTTTGTAGTTACGATTTTACATTTTAGTTAATTCCCGATTTTCTTATATGTGTGATTTGTTTGAAAATATATGCTTATCATAAACATAATAGGGTCCTGGTAAAAAAACGGAAATGATGTTGTAAGATCGAATCATTTTTACCGAAAAATATTCGGAATTCATTCAGTAACAATTAAAACGCAGTAAAGATTCGGAAAATATCCCGAAAAATATGGGGCTGATTACGGAATAAACATATGAATTATACAACTTTTAAAAAAATTAATTTTAAAAACATTTAAACTATTTTNAATCTATCCTATTCTATCTATTTATACCAGCCGACCAATTCTATCCTATCCTGGCCTAATCTATCCTATTCTATCTATTTATACCAGCCGACCAATTCTATCCTATCCTGGCCTAATCTATCCTATTCTATCTATTTATACCAGCCGACCAATTCTATCTATTAATACCAGCAGACCAATTCTATCGATGATATATTTCCTTCTTTAGATATTGTAATTTATGTAAGATGTATATCTATAACATTATATTTACTAGAATAAATCAGAATTATATTGTGTACAAAGAAGTATGTATCTATGTATATACAATGAGCACCCCAAACAGAAGAAATATTTTCCACTCGTTAAGCCAAGACTATTGTATAATGTATAACAACATTAAAGTTTCTTTTATTATTCTTTTAGTTTCATACTGCCGGGGGTTAGCTAAAAAACTAAAAACACTGAAAGTACGAATCGATCTGATCAGTTCTTTTCAGAATTTACAAGAATGGAAAGAATGAGAAGAATGGAAGGATAAGAATGAGAATAATGGAAGGATAAGAATGAGAAGAATTGAAGGATAAGAATGAGAAGAATGGAAGGATAAGAATGAGAAGAATGGAAGGATAAGAATGAGAAGAATGGAATGATAAGAATGAGAAGAATGGAAGGATAAGAATGAGAAGAATGGAAGGATAAGAATGAGAAGAATGTAAGGATAAGAATGAAAAGAATGGAAGGATAAGAATGAGAATAATGGAAGGATAACAATACGAAGAATGTAAGGATAAGAATGAGAAAAATGAAAGGATAAGAATGAGAAGAATGTCCACCATTCCTCTCTTCATCATCATTCACTTGGATCAATCCACTTAAAGCTTCTTTCTTGTTGAGTAGAAAGCACGAATCCTTTCGCTGCGAGAGATGTTGACAGCCGTCCCTCTGTCCTCCCACATCCGTCAGGTGGTCATAACTGCTTAACCTGATGTCGGCTTCAGATGTTTTTTGAAACCACAGGTTTGTGAGGAGTTCGGGAATCGAACCCGTGAAAACCAGTCTGGACACCAATCTAGTTACTGGCTGTGGATGAGAAGAATGGAAGGATAAGAATGAGAAGAATGGAAGGATAAGAAAGATAATAATGGAAGGATAGGAATGAGAATAATGAAAGGATAAGAATGAGAAGAATGGAAGGATAAGAATGGAAGGATAAGAATTAGAATAATTGAAGGATAAGAATGAGAAGAATTGAAGTATAAGAATATTAAAAATGAAAGGAAAAGAATGAGAAGAATGGAAGGTTAAGAATGAGAAAAATGAAAGGATAAGAATGGAATAAAAGGAAAGCTAAGAACTGAAGAGAAAGAATGAGAAGAATGGAAGGATAAGAAATTAAGAATGTTAAAAATAGAAGGATAAGAATGGAAAGAAAGGATGGATAAGAATGAGGGTATAAGAATGATAAGAATGGAATTATAAGAATGAGAAGAATGCAAGGATGAAGAGTAAGGCTCTAGTATCTACTCTGAACTATAGCGGAGAAATATTTATGCTTAGTTGATCTATATCCTCGGAACCCTGCGGAATGAACCCGTCCATAAACATTGCTGAAAAGGAGTAAAAATATTTTGTTTGCAATTTTCTTATAAAAAAGTGATAGAATATTTGAATAACAGATATTTCTGATGACATGTTTACAGTCATGGCTCAGGTATTATTAAAAGATGTGCCTGTTCTTCAAGTACTGGCGAATAATGCAAGGGGTCATCAAGGCCGTGCAACTTACAAGGGGGGGAGGCACGGGGGGTACGTCCCCCTTGCTATTCGCCTCTCAGAAAAGTATTTGTTTCTTCACTACTTTTAAAGGTACAAAAATGACCCCCCCCCCCTCCCTCTCTAAGCAAATATTTTCGTACACCCCTGGGGCAAAGAATTTACCATAAAAATCATAAAAAATTGTAATTAGAAAAGATGTTATCATTTAGGGAAATTTTATTCTAAATCAAATAACAAACTTCTTCCACATCTCGATAATATTCGCATGTTGTTTGTAAACAGAACTAATTTTTAATCTATCTCGTTTTAATTTTTCGTAAACATTATCTTAAAAAACACATTTGGAAAAAATAAACTTACATTTTTGGTTGGCAAGAATGTGGAAGGCATAAATTGAGAAAAGTTTCAGCTTTCTCTGTAAAAATGACAGTTTTGATAAAAGTTATGAAAATTTATCTAAAAACTTTAGGAACGGGTTTGATCAAACGTACGAAAGTAAAGAAACTGAGTTATTTCAAACTATAGCTAATGTTAGATCAAATTGTCTATGCTTGAAATAATAATTATTTTCACCATAAGGTTACACAGATATAGGGATAAGAAAATCTGAATTTTTAGAATTTAGAATTGAGAACTACTTTAAATATTGTCTGTGATCTGCTAAATCACGCGATTTATGATGTTCAACCTACATTCTTTTTTTCAAAATTTAAAATCGGTTACACATCTCGGATTAAAATTTGAGATTTTTAATGAATGAAAGGCTAAAAAAAACACTAATCACCCTTTTTTGGGATTCCTTGTACATCTCTAGAAGTCAGGTCATTCTCTCTGCTTGTCTAGAAATTATATAAATGTTTGAAAAAATCTTCGAAATAGTTTAACTTAAAAAACGAAAGAAGTTACTCCATACTGGATTACTGCATAATGTTTTTAGGGTTGGCTAAAAATAACATAATTAATAAAGATTGCTGTAATTATCATATTTAGAACCAAAAATAATTTATAAGAAAGGAATAGTTTAAAACTATAATCTTAAACTTTTTATTTTTGCATTAAAGTTTTAATGTAAAATTAATTTCTATATTTACATCTTTTTTATTGTCTTTGAGAAGACTTAATCAAAGTGTCGAAGTGCAGTTTTATTGCTTCTCCGGCAGCAAGAATAAGAATAAGAATAAAAGTTTAAATGATTTCGATTTAATATTTTCCAAAGAAACTGTACATTTGGCAACATATATATATATATATCTATACCAGCGAGAGCTTTTGTTTTGTTTAGTTTTTGAAATGAAACAGAAAATCATGATTTATTGATAAATTTACACCATGGCAGTCTTCTATACTCCTCCTACAGGGTGTCCCAATAAAAAGGAATATTAGGCACAATTTAATTGTCTGCAATGTTCTGCAATTATCTTTGCAGCCTGATAATGTATATCTTTGATATTTCAAACTTAGTTTGAAATATTTAAGGTTTACGATATTGGGTTACAAATATATTGGGATTGAAAAATCAGAGTTTGTGGCAAAGGCTCAATTTCTACAAAAACCCTTTTATAATACTTCTGTGCCTTTTAAAAAGGTTGCGGCGCTTAGCCCGTTTAGTAAAAATATATTTTAAAAATTTGTTTTTTAAATTATTCATAAATCATAAATCATAAATGAATATATCTTGTTAAAAAAGATTATAAGATTATTAAATTTGTTCCTTTAAATCCTTCAAGTGAATTCTCTAAAAGTTTTTAAATAAAACATATCATCCAAAGAAAGGTTTCTTAAATTTAATTTGTTACAATTTCTAAGTAAATAATTTAACCATTCTATCTAATATAATAATGACAGAATAAAAAAGTTTTTTTTTAACATTTATATCTTTTTAAATTTTAATTTAAAAGAAGTTCCATTTTAATTATTCTTGTCATCACTCATCATATCTTCTTCTCCATTCTTTATTTTCTTTTTTTACTGACTGTCTCTTCCGGCAACTTGGGAAAAAGATTTTTGCAAACCCCTGTGGAGCTTGGTATGCTGTATACAGGCCAGAACTGCTTGGTGATTTCAGGATATAAAGTAATACTACAGATTTTAGCTGATTTTTATGTTTTTCTAAACTTATATTCATTGCAGAGCTAGAGATGAATTTGAGATTGAGATGAGAGCATCGAGTTCCTTCCTAAAAGTTTAAAAGGATTCGGAGAGTTATACACAATTTCAACACTAGAGGAAAATAAAAGAAACCTCAGTCTTATTTCAACTAGAGGAAAATAAAAGAAACCTCAGTCTTATTTCAATCTGGAACACCTCGATTTGGCACCACTTTTGGTTTCAATCAAAAAGAATGAATTGTAAAAACTTACAAAAATCGCGTACATGGTACCAGGGCCGAATCTAGGCAATGGGTCACGTGCCCCTTCAAATTTAAGATGAAAAAATGATTTTTCGCCTCCAGCCCCCCTCAAAAACTTCCAGCTACCAAGCTAAGACCATTTCTATGCATGGTTTTAATCAAAATTTGAGGCAAATTGGTCAAGGGGTTTATGAGTTATGATCGGACACACAAACAGACATTACTAGGTAATCATGATCATATTCAGTTCTTTTCTATTTTGTCCGTGAATCGTAGATTTTCAACATTTTTAATTTTAAAAAAGAAAAAGAGGTATTCTAGACAAAACGTACTCTAAGACAAGGATGTTTACCACTGAACATGGAGAAAATAACTCATCATTCACCAAAACAATATACAGGTACATAGTTGCAGTCATTAAAGGTAGATAGTTGCAGATATTATACAGGTAGATAGTTGTAGACATTATACAGGTAGACAGTTGCTGACATTACAGGTAGATAGTTGCAGATATTATAACAGGTAGATAGTTGCAGATATTATAACAGGTAGATAGTTGCAGATATTATAACAGGTAGATAGTTGCTGACATTATACAGGTAGAAAGTTGCAGACATTATACAGGTAAATTGATGCAGACATTATATTACAGGTAGATAAAGGTAGAATACAAGTATAAAGTTGCAGACATTACAGTACATTAAACATGTATAATTAGTTGCAGGTAGATAGTTGCAAACATTATACAGGTAGATAGTTGCAGACATTATATGAAAGGTAGATAGTTGCAGAAATTATAAAGGTAGAAAGTTGCAGTTTATCACATAAAATACTAATAAAAATTGAAATTCAGACCCGTCGAATCTAACACTGAAACCTGTGAATTGGAATACAAATTATTTTCATGTTATCCTAAATCTTTTATATGAACCATTTTTAATACTTGCCTACCATTAAAATCGACAAATTTGAGTCAAAATAATTAGATGCTTTTTGTCATTAGAACCTTTCTACACATAAATGAACCCCTTAAGAATAGATAACAACGAGGTTATAATATATAGAGTGCTGATGTACGCTTATCCTTTACTAATTGTACAGGCCATGTAGTTCACTTCCAAAGGTCAATCTGTATAGTACAGTACTCGGGGGTGATTTCTGAAAATATTTAAATGGAGAATTTGTTTTCCATGTAACCAATAAAATCCACTACTCCTTTATCGTGCGCAGGATTCCATTTTCACGGGAAGACGTACATTTACAGTCTTTTACAGAGCAATATTTCATCGTTCATAAACTGTTCTGAGAAAACTGAGTAAAATTCAAGATACAAAACCTCCCCATACACTTGTACTCCGAGAGCGTACTGCATATTTGATGTTTGTACTGTATGAATAGGCCATAATCTCTTAATATCCTTAACAGTAAACTTTACTAAGTGTACACTTAGGCTAACACACACGGAGAGGTAGCTAAAATCCAGCCCCCCTGATTGATAATGATAATAATTATGAATTAGTAAGAACTTTATTGACCATAGAATGCAGATAATGGAGAACAAGTGCAATACAGTGACAACCAGAAAACAATGGAATAGAAAGACGACATTATAGCAATGCTTAAGCGTTTTGATGTTGTTACAAAGCAAATATTTTTACTAGCAACTTTGCAAAGCACTTTTTTATGTGAAATGGGTCTATTTACACTGTACAATGGCTATGTCTAATGATTATTGAACTAGTTTAAGTCCTAACTTGAGTTGAAAAGTCGTCTTCCTATTTCAGAGTTTCCTGGTTATCACTGTAGGATATTTTGCTCATTGAATAAACATGAGCTGTACTTATAACATTTTTAGGATGGGTGATAAATATGAGTGGTCACCAGATCCTGTTCTCTCTGTTTTCATCTTTATAATAACTGTGGTGGGTTAATTTTAAAAATTTTTTAAACGGGCTTAAAAGGACTGTTTGCGAGATTTCAAGTGATTATACGTGCAAAGATGGAAATGCCAGATTCACAACGGTTCCCTTTAATGGTTTGTCTGATCAAGTATGAATTGTGCTTCAATGTTAATTATCTTGAAAACTTATTGTTTTTAATTGTAGTTTCTCCACAAAAGTGAATCGGACAGTGCCATCTTTGCATGCAGGGTCACTAGAAATTAGGCTTACAGTCCCCTTTAATAGTTTGATTTGGAGGTTTACATAATAATCAATTCATGAAATGATAAAATCAAAACAAGAAAATATAAATCAAAACTGTCAAATGTTAAAATAAAAAATAAAAAATAAAAAATATTAAAAGAAAACTTTTTAAATATTGACAGGTGATTATTTTGAGTCCTGCAGTTTGTTCTGGATGCTACCATTATCATAAGAAACATTATGGAGTAGGACTGGAGAAACAGGTAATTATGGAGTATAGGACTAGTGAAACAGGTAATTATGGAGTATAGGACTAGAGAACAGGTAATTATGTAGTATAGGACTGGAGAAACAGGTAATTATGGATTATAGGACTAGAGAACAGGTAACTATGGAGTATAGGACTAAAGAAAAATGTAACTATGGAGTATAGGAATAGAGAAAAAGGTAACTATGAAGTATAGGACTAAAGAAAAATGTAACTTTGAAGTATAGGGCTAGAGAAAAAGGTAACTATGGAGTATAGAGAAATGTATTGCAACAAACACCTTTTCAATCCCCTTCTCTTTAAACTTAATATTTTCAAAAGCTTCTCCAGGTATTTTGTAAACAAATTTTAGTATCATGATTAAAGAAAGATGTTCTTTTTATTAAAAATTCCAATCATATTTGTTATATCTGACAAAAAAAAAGAATATTCAATGTATAAAATGTATCAGATTAAAGGATATATTTAATGTCTGAACTTACTTTTTCCGGATTCTTTAGCTTCCTTAAATGTCTTAGGAACAACATAATAGGTTTTCTTCTAAAAGTATAGCTCTAGTTTTTTGGTTCTCCTATTTTTCCATGTTTTCCTTGTTCTCCTTGTTCTCCTTGTTCTTCTTGTTCTCTTTGTACTCCTCATTCTCCTTGTTCTCTTTGTACTCCTTGTTCTCCTTGTTCTCCTTGTTCTCCTTGTCCTCCTTGTTCTCCTTGTTCTCCTTGTTCTCTTTGTACTCCTTGTTCTTCTTGTTCTTCTTGTTCTCCTTGTTCTTCCTGTTCTCTTTGTACTCCTTGTTCTCCTTGTTCTTCTTGTTCTTCCTGTACTCCTTGCTCTTCTTGTTTTCCTTGTTCTCCTTGTTCTCCTTGTTCTCCTTGTTCTCCTTGTTCTCCTTGTTCTCCTCATTCTCCTCATTCTCCTTGTTCTCTTTGCGCTCCTTGTTCTCCTTGTTATCCTTATTCTCCTTGTTTTCCTTGTACTCCTTGTTCTCCTTGTTCTCCTTGTTCTCCTTGTTTTCCTTGTTCTCCTTATTCTCCTTGTTCTCCTTGTTCTCTTTGTTCTCCTCATTCTCCTTGTTCTCTTTGTACTCCTTGTTCTCCTTGTTCTCCTACCGACACAGATACGAAAATCCGAGTTTTGAGTTTGTGGGGGAGGGGGCAATGCATGTTTATTTTTTAAAAAAACATTCCAATTAGAATATAAGAAAAACAACTATAGTACAACAACAAAGACTAAATTAGTTAAACAGAAAACAACCACACTAAAGCCACAACAGAAAGTTGTATCATCTTTTTTTGTTTAGTCCTTTTGCTGTTGTGTTAAACTGGTTGATAAAATATGATTCTCTGATCTTCCGATATGTTGGATTGTTTTCTTTACATTTTTCACGAACTGTAACTTTCATATTTGATAGTGTATGTCCTGGAAGGTTGAAATGATTTCCAGTGGGTTGTGTCAAATTAGCACTTTTTACATAACCTATATGTTCTTTAAACCTATCAGGTTTCTCCAATATATTGTATATTGTGGCAACTAGGTTTGTTGCAAGATATACAGAAAACCACATTTTAACTTTCACACGACTCAAGAGTTTTTATTTTTACTGCAAAGTTTGATCTTGAACTTTTTACCTTCTCTGTGGTGTGTAGGAATGGGAAAGTGTTACACCCATATCTGTTACATTTTTTCATTCCTACTAGGGTTCTCCTGGACCTTGTTTCCTTTGGGAGTTTTGTTTTCCTTGTTTTCCTTGTTATCCTTGTTCTCCTTGTTCTCCTTGTTCTCCTTGTTCTCCTTGTTCTCCTTGTTCTCCTTGTTCTCCTTGTTCTCCTTGTTCTCCTCATTCTCCTTGTTCTCCTTGTTTTCCTTGTTCTCCTCATTCTCCTTGTTCTCCGTGTTCTCCTTGTTCTCCTTGTTCTCCTTGTTCTCCTTGTTCTCCTTGTTCTCCTCATTCTCCTTGTTCTCCTTGTTTTCCTTGTTCTCCTCATTCTCCTTGTTCTCCGTGTTCTCCTTGTTCTCCTTGTTCTCCTTGTTCTCCTTGTTCTTCTTGTTATGCTTATTGTTTTATCTCGGGAACTGATGCGTAATTAATTTGATCTGCCAAATTATTTCTTGAAGTTGGAGACAAACAACACCGATTAAGCAACACAATGAATATTAAAAGAAGCTTTTAGGGAGATTTTTATAAGTTCACTTAAACTCTTTAAATTTTAAAATCTAAAACCTTTCCCAATGTTGCAAATACTTTTTCAAGTACTTTTCAAGTACAAGTACTTTTTTGAACGTACATATTGAGGATTTACTTTAAGGACGCATATTGATGGCGCACTTTAAATGCGCCCTTTAAGGACGCATATTTAGAACGCACTATTGAAGATGCACTATTCACTAATAATAAGTATGCACATTGAGTACGCATTTGGAGGACGAACTGTTAAAAATGCTCTTATAATTAGAACACGCTGTGAGGACGCACTTTAAGGATGTGCCATTGATGATGCTCGAATAATAAGAAAAACACATTGTTGATGACGCATTGTTTAATCCCTCTATAGATATTTGCAGCCAAATGGCATAGACCTTAGATATTTCAAACTATTAATTCTGTTAAATCAAATTGTCTAAGTTTGAAATATCAAAGGTTTCACAATCAGAGTTTGCGGCAAAAGCTTAATTCCTCTGTCTAAATAAAAAGTATTTAGGAGAAGTTACCTCCCGTCATATATTTGGTTGGAACTCCTCTTTCCTGGATAAAATATCCGAAGAATTCAAGGTGTTCATGTCCCTCTCCTCCATCACCTTCTCCACCTCCTCAACCTTCTCCATCCCTGGCATCTCAGCAATGTCCAACCCCTCCGTCTCTGGCGTCTCATACATGTCCAACACCTCCGTCTACAACATACCGACCTTCACACTGCAGACATAGTGTACCATCACAACAGAAACGACCACCATGGTATGTGAATTAATGAAATTTTTGTAGTATTTGACTTTTCGTTTGAAGAGAGGAATACCACGATACCTTTAAACCTTTATCTGATTAATATTTTTTGGAAGATATCGTATTTTTTTCTGTTAAAAGTTTATATTCTCACAATTTCTTTCTTTTGTTGCTAAAGCAGAAATAATCAACTTTGATAGAGAAAATGATGGATTTCAGACTAGCTGTAAAGGGTTGTGTTTTAATTTTAAACGGAAAATCAAAATCAATGTTTTTAAAACTTATCAAAAGAAAGATTTTTATTTAACTCTATTACTCGGCTATTTTAAGATATAAAAGAGTTTGAATTGGTAATTTCATAATTCAATCTTTTTAATTACAGAAAAGCAATTAAAAGATATATATTTTTAATGTTGTATTTCGCATCAAATTTAATCACATGAAGACGACCTGACGTTTTAAACTTGCCAGAAAATGTTCAGAGGGACATACTGTATATAAATTTGGCTTGTCTGTCTGTCCGTTTGTATCCAATAAACGTCAAAACGGCTGAACCGATCGGGCCCAAATTTTGTGTGGGACCTAACGTGACCCCAGGGGAGGTTTATGAATTGCCAAAATTGGAAAAATTTGTATTTAAAAGTTTTTATTTTTTTTAATTTTTTAAAATCTTGAAATCCGCGGATTTTGCCATAAAATCCGCGAAATTCTTTTTTCCTTTGTTTTTCAATGTTTACAATGAGAACACGTTTACAATTGAAATAGAAGATGGCCGCGAAGCGCCCTAAAAGCCTAGTACTGTATATATTACATAATATCTTGAAACAATGATGAAACTTAAAAACTTTTCAGCAAAACCACGCTATTCGGAAAATCTATAACAAAGTTTTAACTTTTTTAAATTTTAGATTATTTTAGTTTTTATGATGATAGGGGCCAAGGGAGTACACAGTACTCCAAAGTACGCATACACGCACCTCTGACCCTTTAGTAAAAGTAAAATCAACCTAAAGTCTGACCGCATCAACCTTGTTGCACCAGCTAGTCTTATTAATTGTCTGCTTTATTTACCCAATGTCCGCGCGATACAGTACAAACTGGGACCGGAAAGGTTGGCCCGGCTCGGAAATTCAAATGTACTATGGCTGCCCGTGCATACCAAATTAGTTTTTGTAGAATTTTTGTTACGTTTTTCATCCGGGTTATAAAATAATTTCAATACATCGAATCTATTCTATCCATTATTTTCAAATAACCAATTTGTTAAAGAGAAATCATGGATATCTCATTCATACTTTATCAGACAAAGCTTTTAAAGGTACCGTTGTGCAGCTTGCATGCCACTCATTAACCACTTAAATTCTAGATTAATCATTGTGAAGTAAATAGATAAAAATCTAAATCCAAAATGTAAATTTAAACATTTTCCATCCAAGAACCCTTTAATTTCTAGAAATGATCTCTTGCTATTTTTATGGTTAAAGTTTAAACTATTAACCTGAATGTAAGCCATTATAACTTTCAGATTCAATGGGAGCGTTCACCAAATTTCATTGAACCCTCTATTAAAGAAATCCCATCAAGGATTCACAGTCAAGCCATTTAAACTATGTCCTATGTATCTTGGGTTTTTATCCTGATAATGACATCTGAAGGGGAATATAAGCGTAAAAATGTGTAAGTCACTTTTGTAGAGAAAGCACGATTGAAAATAATCTGTTTTTAAAGTTAACGTTTTTGGTATCTAATTCATACTTGATCAGACAGAGCTATTGTGGGTACCGTTGCAAATCGGGCATCGCCTTTTTTGTTTGGAGGTTTTTTTGAAATTACGCTTACAGTCCCTTTAAATGCCATCCCTGGTATAAGATGGAAAAGTTGGAGGAAGGGAATGATAGGAAAAAAAAGTTATAATTCTGATTTATACAGTTTCAATCAAAAAGTTTTTGGTGGTTCGTTGTTTACATAATACAGTCGTTGTTTACATAATACAGTCGTTATTTACATAATACAGTCGTTGTTTACATAATACAGTTGTTATTTACATAATACAGTCGTTTTTTACATAATACAGTCGTTGTTTACACAATACAGTCGTTGTTTACACAATACAGACAATTCAACAGAGAGAAAAAATTTAATTTAATTTTTCCAGAAAGACTTTTTTCTTGATCACCCATTCTTCTTTTATAGGTACAGAGCTGTAGAGAGATCTGAGAAGAATAATATGCTGATCCTACACCTGGTGGGTTTTTATCCTCGTTAGATCCGACTTTCCAATAATAATTTGTTTAATTCAGAAAGTTAAGTTTAGTAAAACAGAAAGCGTTAAATGAGTTCAGTTCTTTCGAAAGTTGACGAGACCATATTTCATGAATAGTGAGGAACAGTTGAACCGAATAGACAAAGTTGAGCCACTTCTCTTCAACATGAACCGGCGCACAAGAGAAGTGGTTTAGCTTTGTCTACGCGGTTAAACTAGTACGCGCTATTCATTTACTTTGGTCCCAGAGGTCATAACTTTTTAAAACATTAATGAATCCCTGGATCAAACGGTTATCCGTATTTTGTCCAGTGTTATGGGTAGGCTTCCCATAAACCTTGAGAGTTTAATGGAATCGAATATTAGAATTTAAGCTTGGTCACTTAACTACCTATCGTCGATTCAATGGCCTATCTGTAGTTCTGCACTGCACTGCACTTCATTGCATTTTTAAAACTTTAATTTAATGTATGGCCTTTTAAAGGATTTATTTCCAGGAGAGTGACTCACTTATGGAAAACTACTATTCTGGATCAGTGTCAGTTCCTGCAGAAGTAAAACCATCTTCATCTACTGGCTTGAAACCTGTCTCACAATCATCAGGCCCACTCGCATCCACCCAACCAGCAAACTCTGTACATGTATCCCTACCCAGCTGGAAACAGAAACCTGCTCAAAGTTCCTTTAACTCCGCCCCAAGGAGAGGATGTTCTATCAACTATTTTGTTAAACCTACCAGAGTAATCCCTATGAAACCCATTTCGGAGAATTCTTCTTCCGTCAAATCATCCCAGAGTGAAATCAGGAATGTTTGCTCGAAACTTGAGAATATGAAACAATCAAGATCGGATTCACAAACCTCGAATGAAAGTGAAATACTACTTTTGCAAACCAGACTCTAATATTTTTCAGTTTTCAATCAAAAGAATTTAATTTTTGCCACAAACTCAAATTTTTTTAGCACCTATCTTTGGCACTTTTCCAATTTTGATTATTTGACCTAAGAGAATATATAGTTTTAAAAATATCAAAGTTCAACAACATTCAATTACAAAGATATAGGGATAAGAAAATAGGTGTTTTATGGCAAAAACTCAATTACTTTTCTTACAAGATTTATTCAAACTTAAATTATAATGTCATTATTGAAAGATATGCGGGAGATTAAGAAATTTATTCAATTTTGATGGAATTTATCACACCTAATATTTCCTGTTGTAGGGTGATTAAGTGACTTTATCGCCCTACAACAGGGCGAAAAAGTAACTTTTTCACCTTGCTATTAAAATTTCAAATTTCATACATAATTTGTCTCATTGTAGGGTGATAAAGTTACTTAACCACCCTACAACAGGGTGATTAAGTAACTTTATCGAACGCTTTTAAATAATTTGAGTAAACTGAATAAAACTATATGTGTTATTGAAATGGGTATCATGCGTGCGAAAAAGTTTTTGCTATAATTTTTTATTTTTCTAGTTTGTTTTCGATCACTATGTTCGGTGTGAAAAAAACTTCCATTTTGATCTTTAAAAAACTAGAAAAAATAAAAATCCCGGCAAAAACTTTTTCGCATTTAATAATACCCATTTCAATAACATAAATAGATATTAATAAGAAACAGCAATAAGATAAGTAATTAATTAAATTTTATGTTTTCCACGGCCCTGTAAACATAATTTCAAGTGACCCTCCATAAAAAGAATTCGACTCTTGATTTGTTTTTACAAGAAGAGCAAGAAAATTATCAACATTTGTCGGTATCCAGTAAAAACAAACAGAATTTTCTGTAGATGTAATTTAAGTGATCCTTCATTGAAAAAAAAAAGAAATTGCAGAAATGATTAACAAAGATACCCTTAAAAGCTTTGTCTTTTAAGATCTGAACTAGTCTGACTCTGGCATAAACTTTATTTTACATAAAAAAAATTGTTTCATGAGATATTATAAATAAGCAATCAAAATTTACTATGTAGTTTGAACCCGCCTAACCAGAATAGGTTGTTTTGATTGTTTAGACCATAGATTAATAACAATATAGGTAGAACACATAGAATAGACTATTTCTCTGTCTTGTAATTCTACACAATATGGCATAACTCTTTTGGACCTTTGCCTCAGGGTTATTGTGAACGAAAAATCACTAAATCTTAAAGGGACGACATTTAGAGTTATATCTGTAATGTTATTAATCTATGGTTCAAACCAAAATAATGTTTTTGTGGCATTTTATTGGTTAGGACTGAGGGAAATCAAATCAAATATATTGGATGCATTTATTTCGAAGATTTCATTATACTTTCTAAACTTGTGTAATCTGAAAAGAAAAAAGTTTGTGTCCAAAGAAATTTGTTTTTCCTTTAAATAGTGATTATCGAGGAAAGAGAACTCAGTGTGTATATCAAATCTTCTCAATAGTTTGACATGATGGTAATGCCCGATTCACAACGGTACCCTTGAAACCTTTATCTGATCAATAATGTGAAAGATATTGTCGTTTTGAAAAGGTTCAAAAGGGTTTATTTCTGATAATTCGAATATGTTTTCTGGCAACAGAAATGCGCGAGTATTTTTCATCCACCTGTTAAAAGAAAAACTTTTGTCTCTCAAAAAATAAGTGTTAAAAAAAGAGATTGTTCAAAGTTATGGTTATACAAGTTTTTGCATCAAAAAAGCGAAAAAAAGAAAAAAATATTATTCTTAATCAGTAAGTTTTAAAGACATGGACTGGACCCAGATACATTTATTTCATGGCGGATACAGGATCCAGGATACGGGATTCAGGATACAGGATACAGGATACAGGATTCAGGATACAGGATCCAGGATCCAGGATCCAGGATCCAGGATCCAGGATCCAGGATACAGGATACAGGATCTAGGATCCAGGATCCAGGATACAGGATACAGGATCCAGGTTGCAGGATCAAAGGTACAGGATCCAGGATAGAGACTCCAGGATACAGGATCCAGATCCGTATAAAAAAAACGATCTTAAGCACTGCTCTTAACTCTGCAACTTGTAAGGTATATACCATAGCCCATATATACTAGGTCTTGTCTTTGTCGGCAGTTAAGTTCTATGTTATAAGAATTAGAAAGCATCTTAAAACAAAAAAGATCTTTAAGAGCTCTTTGAAATATTTTTCAAAAAATTGCAAGTGTCTCGGAATAAAAAAAAGCGTTTAATGCCTGATTCACAACGGTTCCCTTTATCCCTCCATGAGGAAGATATCGTCGTTTATCTGTCTTTCTGATAACAATCCATTTCAAAATTTGCATGACTTCTATTATTCTTGTAGTACTGACGTAGGGAAAATATTCTATTTATTAAATCAAATGTTAATACAATCTTATTAACTTATGCTTCACAGAACTTTCAAGAATTGATGCAGATTTTATGCATTTCCTTCATTTTAAATCCTTCAAGATTTTATACTTTAGTTTAACTAAAATATAATTCAATTTTTCCGGGGTTTTCTCTTGAGCAGCTTTACCTCCAGTGACCTCTCATGGGACTTGCATTATTTCCGAAACGGTGTAAGGATTTACCGTTATATCGTACAGCTTACACATTTACTCGTACCTTAGCAGCACGAAAAGTGAACCAGTTTTATGCGAAGTCCTTTGGAGGTTGTTTTAGCTATAAATATAGGATAGAAATAAAAATAATGTCAATTATCTAGTTTCGGGTTTTGCAGAGCTAGTTGCATTTCCCATTCACAAAGACCGATCCTTAAAAGAATGAAAAAAATATCCATGATTTTAATTGACTTGCGGATTTCTGCTTTCACATTTTCACATTTATATCGATTTATAGGTTTTAAGGGTGCCTTTGTTTGAGGATAGAGAGGGGAGGAAGGCCAGCCACAACAATTTCTCGTCCGAGCCACATTCTCCTCATTTTCTCGTTCGCACCACCTCGAAATCCTCGTCCTTCAATTAATGTGTTTTAAAGTTTCTGATTCTTGAAGATAAATATTTTTAACAAATCTGGCCATCGTTAGACTAAAGTATTGCAATCATTAAATCATTGAATCTTTAGAGACTTGAGAATGATGTCAAACTTTATTTAGGTAAAACCTAAAACTCTTCTGCCTACGTAATAGCCAACCTTTGTGATATGAAATAAATAGCAAAATATTTGGCATACATTGGCATACATCATTTTCCCCATGGAACCACCCTGAAAAAATCTATGGTTTTCACTATAATTAAGAAAAAAGATTAAAGTTCTATAATTTCGCAATCATTTGCGGCATTCTACACCAGGAATACTGAAAATGCGCGTAAAAAAGTGAACATTTTTAAGGAAATAGAAATCGAAAACTTTGATTCAATGAAACTATTTTTTAGATTTACTAAAATTCAATATCTCATATATGCTCTAAGTGGCCCGATTCTTGAAAAATAGTTATATCTTGGAGGACTAGACACTTTTAAAAAAATATAATGGAAAGACGAGGATTTCGAGGTGACTCGGACGAGAAAATGAGGAAAATTTGGCTCGGACTAGAAATTGTTGTGGCTGGCCTTCCTCCCCTCGCATGACCCTCTCTGAATTGGTGAGTTGAAATTACGTTAACAGTTCCTTAACAAACACTTCTACCGACAAATAATTAAGTTTGTTTTAATCTGTCATGAAACGTAGAATTGATTTGAACTTGAACTTGAATCTTATGTTAGTTAGATTACGTCATGTTTCAATATTGTAAACCTCATCTACGCAGGCGCAAGCCGGTTTCATCCTGCAAGGCCTAACCGAGTCAGGCAGTTTCGGCATGAAAGCTGCATGAATGGTGAAATATCATGCTTAATCCTGCCTTACTCCGGGTATATAAACTGAGTACAGGGTTGGTATTCAGACCTTGTGTATATCAGGACCTCGATAACCTAGGATACCAGGATATATATATTATAGTAAAGTGTGAAAGTGTAGATTCAATATTAGACCTAGTGGATAGAGAGAGAGGATTAAACTCGGGTGCTTGTCTCGTCATGAATACATAAGGTAAAATATTCTTCCATCCCTTTCCTTATACATCCTTCACATCCTTGCCTTGCCTTGCCATCCCTTGACACCCTTGCCTTGCCTTCCCTTGACACCCTTGCCTTGCCATCCCTTGACACCCTTGCCTTACCATCCCTTGACACCCTTGCCTTNTTCCCTTGCCTCCCTTGCCTTCGATTGCCTTCTCTTGTCTCCCTTTGCTTCAATTGCTTAAAATGGAAATAATATTTAATATTAATGAAAATGGTTGTCTGCTGAATTATACTTTCAGAAAGTTCATCAAATATTTATTTTCATCAAAAATAAAACAAAAATAAAAGATTTTAAAAAAATGTATCTACTCAATTTTCAAAGAAATGCGATGCAATACTTTATTTTATCTTGCTAATGATGTCTAACCTTTTTTTGGTACACCAACACCCAATAATTATTGCTTTCTAGTAGTATAAATCAAGCACACTATTTACTCTATAGTACACACTGATAATATTCTATTGTATGAAAGCCTTGTTTTTGTTAAGGTCGTTCAAGCGTTTCTCTTATCAGCCGCAATATTGCCTAAACAAACTTATACCCACAGTGATCCAAATGTTGCAAGCTCTCGCACAAACATCGATGCGAATTTTGCAAATTAATTTTTTTAAATGAGTTCGTGCATCTCACTTTAAATTCTACCAAGTCTTAAAAAGTATTCAAAGTATTCAACTTTTGATAGCAGTCTGGATCTATGTGACTCACGTAGTACGTAGTAATCCTATATGTTCGTTAGCTTCAGTTTATACCTTTCTAAGCTGGTAGTGTAATATTAACAAACAGTAGAAAAGTGTAAATATTCTTTTTCCCCTGGTGCCAATTAGTTGCAAGAAAGGCAGGGGCTGGGGTTGGCAAAAAGTTTGTTCTTTTTACCTTTTTACCTTTCTTTTTGATTTGTAATAGTTTTTCCAGAATCAACATTTTAAGAGTCTGTCATTGGAGTAGTTAGTCTATAAAACATTTTCCAGATTCGTTGGATCTGCAACATGTTGGCTTCATGGATCCGGATCATAAAAATATCTGGATGGCGGACACCCTTGATATTTCATTCTTAGGCTATTTGATCTAACAGAATTCATGGTTTGAAATATCTAAGGTCTACGACATTGGGTACCAAAAATATAGGTATTAGAAAATCTGAGTTTGTGATAAGGACTCAATTCCTTTCTGTATGGTTTACTAAGTTTCAATAAAAAAAAAAAAAAAAAGGAAAAAAATGTTGAAATATGTTTAAAAAAACATTAAACTGAAATGGATCCTAAGCACTGCATTTTCAACTTCCGTAACCTGTCTTTTAAGAGTAGTCGTTGCCGCAATTGTCTTTTTACAGTTGTAACCTTCCGTTAATGGTCTTTCTAAAGTCTGATTTTCTCGCAGTTTTTCTTTAGAAGTCCGTCCTTTCCGCAACTTTACTTTCAGACTGAGCCTGTCCTTTCTGCAGTTTGTTTTTTATATAGTTCTTTTAACCTACATATCTTATCTTTTAAAAATTAAAAGCCTGCCCTTTTCCGCAATCGTAAATGAAGTCGAATTTCTAGTTTATGATATATCTATTTTCTAGGTAGTGATTTTAGTATGGGGAGTGTGACTGCTAGGAAGGGTAGTTATCTTAGCGTGGTTGGACAGGATGAGGATGGGACGGATCAGGTTTGGGTTTGTGTCTCCAGGCAACATCTGAACAAGGGAACCAACTCCATCTTGGTAGAATGGTTGGAACAGGTAGCTATGGATAATATTGATGATGATGATGATGATGATGATGATGTTGATGATGATGATGATGATGATGATGATGATATTATCAGGTTGAGGTTGGAGTGTATATAAGATCAGGCCAGGTTGACCGGATCCAGGCTTACTGTATCCTCTCCAGGCTTAGACTACTATCTCAGGGTAGAGGAGATACTGGAGAAATCAGGTTTATTATAGTTCTATTTTTATATTTTTAGTTATTGTACTAAAATATACAGAGCTAGGACAGTTCAACTCTAGCTTTTCTGAAAGGCCCTTCTAACAGAAACATAGAGTACAAAGAGACAGAGAAAAAGGCAAATCCAATTTAAATGTACACACATAAGAAACTTAAGGTATGAAGGTAAATTGATGAGGAAAACAAGATAATCAACAAGGAATGCCTGCATTCATATTTGTCAAAAACACCTTGGAGAACTCCGAAAATCGTAATTTAGACCAATTGACGATATAATATAATGTGGGACACCCTGTATATTTAGTATAGTCCGAGAAATATATAGTTCCTTGGTATAGTCAACATTCAACAATCTACAAACCTGGCTGAGATAGCAAATTCCATAAAACTTGCAAGGGTTATTATTTTATTGTTATTATTGTTCATGGGTTCAGTGTCAGCAGCTGAGATATTGAATTTAGAAACATATAAAAAGCTAACCTTCCTTGCAACAAACCATAAATATCAGACGAATCAGGGGGGCTGGATCTTAGCTACCTTTCCGTGTGCATTAACCTGCGTGTACACTTAGTATAGTTTACTGATAAAGGATATTAAGAGATTTTGGCCTAATGATACAGTACAAACATCAAGTATGCAGTACACTTTCGGAGTACAAGTGTATGGGGAGGTTTTGTATCTTAAATATTACTCAGTTTTCTCAGAACAGTTTATCAACGATGAAATTTTGCTCTGTAAAGACTGTAAATGTACGTCTTCCCGTGAAAATGGAATCCTGCACACGATAAAGGAGTAGTGGATATTAATAATCACATGGAAAACAAATCACCATTTAAATATTTTCAGAAATCACCCCTAGGCACTGTACTATACAGATTGATCTTTGGAAATGAAGTACATGGCCTGTACAATTAGTAAAGGATTAGCCTACATCACCACTCTATATACTATAACCTCGTTGGACAGAAGTAAAAAAGAAGCAGAGATTAGCAGAATTCTGAACCAATGAATAGATAAGAACAATCTACAGACTATTTCTATAACCAATTATTTTGAAAATATAAAAATAAATGTTGAGGTGCTATTTCCCACTTGGGTTTTTGGGGGCCTGGAACCCCCCTTCCCCCCCCCCCCCTCGGGGCTCCAGCAACAAATGTATGCAAAATAACGATCTCTTTAACGAATTATTTCAAAGTTTTTTTTTAATCGAACCAAAATGAAAAGTGTCTTTTTATACATCAAGCATGGGAAATACATCATTTCCTGTTTTTATGTCTAGATTATGCTGTATCATTTTAAAATTAAGGGGTCGCATATACCTGATTTATTATCAAGAAGTTTAAAAATATTAAAATTATATCAAATTAAAACCTCTGCCATTTATTTTTCATGAAATAAAATTAAAAATATTTTAGATACCTACTTCCTGCAAACCAGCTGGAGAAAGCTGAGAGATGTCTTCGAAGTAGAGGAGAAGAAGATGAAGAAGATAAAGAAGAAGAAGAAGAAGAAGAAGAAAAAAAGATGGACGTCGAATCGAAACCAAAATCAAGAAAACGAAAACATGATCATGAGAGAAATAGAACAAAAAGCCCGAAAAAGAAAGAGAAAGTGACAAAATCCACGAAAGAGAAAAAGAACAAGGTTAAAAAGAAGGAAAAGAAGGAGAAGAAAGAAAAAGTTCCCAAAGCTAAGAAACCCAAAATTGACAAAACGAATCCTAACTGGAAGCTCAAACCAAACCTTAGTATCAAGGTCTGGGAGAAGGTAAAAGATATTTAATATAATTGTCCAGAGGTGAAAACTTTTAATTGATACAGCGCTAATCTCCATTGATTGATCTTGATATCCACTAAGGCAACTATTAAATTTAAATGATAAGTGCCTGATTTCTTAATTTATTGTTTTCCCTGGGGGTTTACGAACATGGGATATCCAAGAGGAATTAACGCTTCGGAGGTCAAAAGTTTTAAACAATAGCTTGATCCAGCTTGATCCAGCTCAATCCAGCTTGATCCAGCTCCATCCAGCTTGATCCAGCTTGATCCAGCTTGATCCAGCTTAATGCAACACAAAATGTTTTAAGCATAATTGATGCTTAAAAAATAAAAAGGTTTATATTATAGCCTTGAACAATGATTAAATTTTATAACTTTTAGCTGGTCTATTCGAACGAAACACAGTTTCTTAAAATAATTATTTTTACAATTTTCAACACACATAAAAGTTTATAAAGAAAGAAATATTTTTGAAAAATCAAATAATCATATTTAAAACATGAAAAGGGGAACACCATCAGGTTTTGAAGATTAAAGATTGTTTCAAGTTTTTAAGATTCAAGTTTCATTGATTATTGAACATAAAGGAACTGAATTATCGCCAAAAAAATTTTAATTTGAAACCCGGTTGTCGTAGACCTGTAATATTTCAAACTATGAATTCTGATATATCAAAAAGTTTCACTATCAAGTTGCAATGATAAAGGAATTAATAAATTTGAGTTTGTGGTAAGAACTCAGTTTCATTAATAATGATTTAATTTTGTTCTGTAACAAATTACTGAATTATTCACGTTCTTGTATCCTAGGAACCTCTATGTGAGGGTGTTGAAGAGATTCCCTTTGTCTCCAGCACTGCCCAGAGTAGACTAGTCATCCGAGCCGTCCTCACCAACAATCTGAACCTTCTCCGGGCCTGTGTATCCGACTATACTCAGATAAACTCCCTTCACACCCATAGATCCCTCGCCTCCGATATGACAGGATTCAGGTACAAAATAAAAAATTCAAACGGGGTTTTCCCAAAAAAAAAGAATTCTGAACATTTTAACATTTTTTTCACCTTTAATCATAAATTGTTTGAAAATTGCACATATATGAGATCTACAAATTATTTTCATATTTCAACCATTTATGGCAAAGACGACTTTTGTTAAGATTATTTGAATAAGGTTTGGTTAAGGTATGCTTTGAAGAACCAAAATCTTGAGTTCCTCAAGATATTCCTGAAAGCGGAAACCGACAAGAAACTAAGATGTAAAAAGGAACTCTGTATCCTTCCGACTCATGGAACAGGAACCTATAATTACAGGTATATATTTGGATCTATGGAACACAGGAACCTATAATTACAGGTATATATTTGGAACTATAGAACACAGGAACCTATAATTACAGGTATATATTTGGAACTATGGAACAGGAACCTATAATTACAGGTATATATTTGGAACTATGGAACACAGGAACCTATAATTACAGGTATATATTTGGAACTATAGAACACAGGAACCTATAATTACAGGTATATATTTGGAACTATGGAACAGGAACCTATAATTACAGGTATATATTTGGAATTATGGAACAGGAACCTATAATTACAGGTATATATTTGGAACTATGAAGCACAGGAACCTATAATTACTGGTATATATTTGGAACTATGGAAACAGGAACCTATAATTACAGGTATATATTTGGAACTATTGAACACAGAAACCTGTAATTACAGGTAAATTTGGAACTATGGAAACAGGAACCTATAATTACAGGTATATTCGGAACTATGGAACACAGGAACCTATAATTACAGGTATATATATGGAACTATGGAACACAGAAACCTATAATTACAGGTATATATTCGGTACTATGGAACTCAGGAACCTATAATTACAGGTAAATTTTGAACTATGGAACGGTAACCTATAATTACAGGTATATATTTGGAACTATGGAACACAGGAATCTATAATTACAGGTAACCATGGAACTATGAAACAATAACCTATACTTAAAGGTATATATATGAAACAGGTATATGTTTGGAACTATGGAACACAGGAACCTATAATTACAGGTAAACATGGAACTATAAAACAGTTAGCTATAATTACAGGCATATGTATGGAACTATGGAACACATGAACCTATAATTACAGGTAAACATGGAACTATAAAACAGTTAGCTATAATTACAGGTATATGTATGGAACTATGGAACACAGGAACCTGTAATTACAGGTAAACATGGAACTATAAAACAGTAACCTATAATTAAAAGTGGAACTATGGAACAGGTAACATGGATTTTTAGAAGAAGAAAATATGACTAGAATGAAAGAGAAAGCCGAAATAATATACAGAGTTAGCAAAAATAATTTACAGTGTTAGCCGAAATATTTTACAGTGTTAGCAAAAATAATTTACAGTGTTAGCCGAAATATTTTACAGTGTTAGCCAAAATAATTTACAGTGTTAGCCGAAATAATATGCAGTGTTAGCCAAAATAATTTACAGTGTTAGCCGAAATAATATGCAGGGTTAGCCAAAATATTTTACAGTGTTAGCCGAAATAATATACAGGGTTAGCCGAAATAACATACAGGGTTAGCCAAAATATTTTACAGTGTTAACCGAAATAATATACAGTGTTAGCCAAAATAATATACAGTGTTAGTGAAAATATTTTACAGTGTTAGCCGAAATAATATACAGGGTTACCCAACAAGTATGAGTCTTCAGAGACGACTGTATTTGCTAATAAATATTTGTATATTCTAGATCCCTTGGTATCCGGAATATAAGGAAGGTAAACCTAAGCCGTGGGTCAAGAGAAGGCAACAATGCGTTCACGAAAGACCTGAATATTCAGGGGCAGGCAACCCTCTCTGCTAATGATATGATGAGATGGAACCTTGGGATAAAGTTCATCTGCAACCTTATTCTGATCAGCAACAAGAGGATCGACAAGTACTCGTTCATCTCTAACGTGTACGAAGCGGTCAGGTGATAGCAATTAAATAAAACAGTTTTGTATCTATGTATCTGTTTGTATTTCCGATCATAACTTATGAACCCCTTTACCGATTTGGCTATACATTTTGATTGGGGAACTTGTTTAAAACATGAGAATGTTTATAAGCTCTGTTAAAAGGTTCTAGGTTAAAAGTGGGTTGGCTTTTTGGGGAAAGATTTGTTTCTAGACAAAGCTTGGTTTTCAACCTAGTATAAAATAAATTATACTTTCCATACTTTCCACACTAATCATGACAATTTCTTGATATAAAGATTATCTTCAAATACCGCTAAATTTTAGCATTTCCAAAAAGTAGCCTGTCCTTTTCTGTTTTTTCCGTTTTTATCAACAGAGATCTGAAAAATTTTGTTCAGATTTCAATTTATCAAAGAAAACACAAAAAGTGTCTAAAATCTATATTTTTGTCATTTTTAAATACGCAAAGAAGGTTTATTTGATTTTGCTACATTTTTTAGGATATCACAGATTAAGATAATGCACTCTACATAAGAACTAGAATTTTTAAGTTCACAAAATGTCTAAAAAAATTTGTTTTCTAGAAATGGGCACAGAGAGTTGGCAGCCCACTTTATATCCCAAGAAGTGGAGATGAACGGAAATCAATTCTCAAAGTTTTTCGTGGATTCTCTCCTTGGTTCTGGGGACCCCTGGAACACTACGGTTCGTGAAGTGTCTGCTCGGAAGAAGGCTGGACATGAGAACCGTCAAATCACTCCGCTCCACACTGCCTGTATCAACCCGGATACAGGACCACTAGAGGCTCTTTACCAGACCTGTCCGGATTTATTTCTTACAGATGCCGATCAGTGGAAACCGATTCATTACGCTTCTGCTTCAGCTACAACAGGAGCGCTAGGTAATCCAAATATTTCTTTAAACAAATAAAAATAAAAAGATTGCATTTAATTTTTTTGGTAGATTTTTTGGAGAAGAAAGGTGCGAACCTAGAGGATCCGGCTAAGGATGGTTTAACCCCTCTCATGGTGGCTTGTAAGGCTGGTAGGCCAGGTTCGGTCAGGTTTCTTCTTGACAAACTCTGTACAGAGTTGGAGGACGAGGAATCTTACTCCGTGAAGAAGTTTGGTAGGGGCAGAATAAACAAACCAGGGCGGGATAGCTGGTCTCCAATCCATCTTGCAGTTTCAGAGGGACACCTAGAGACAGTTGAGGTTCTTCTGAAGTATGGAGCAGATGCAAACCGTCCCTTGAACACAAGGTACGACAAGATGACCCCTCTAATGCTGGCAGCTGCTAACGGTGACCTGGAAATGGTTAAACTACTGGTTAGTAAGGCACTGATTGAGAAAAAGGACAGGTTTCATCGAACCGCTCTCACACATGGAATTCTGAACGGAGCAGCTCATGTTGTATCCTTCCTCCTATCACTAGGAGCGGATCCAAATGGCAAGGACTCCTCACAAAACAGTAATCTACACTATGCCTGTGCATACGGATGGTGGTTCTGTATGAAGGTTTTGATTGAGTCTGGAGCAAATGTAAACAGCGGAAACGAGTGGAATCTTACACCACTCAGTGTTGCATTTCTCAAGGGTAATAAAGGTATAGGAAAGCATCTTGCAGAACTACCTGGAGTAAATATCGAGGTTAGGGATGACAAGGGTCGGACAATTCTTCTCAATATGCTGAATGATAATGGAGAACATTTCTCCAATGAAAAGATGAAGGAGGTGTTTGCATTTATAAAAGAGCACAAAGCGAACCCTGCAGCTGTGGATAATGATGGAAACAACGCTCTCCACTATATCATGTCTCACAAACTGAACTTCGACCCGAACGTGAAATCTTTCATGGCAAGAATTCTCAAAATGGTCAATTTTTTCCTGGATCAAGGTGTTACTCCGTATCAGAGAAACAAGGATGCTTTACTACCAATCCAGGTTGGGTTTAGTAATAAATATTCTCACGGTAGGGTTGGATATGAGGAGGAGAAGTCCAAACCACACTTTCAGGCCTTATCCGTCCTTCTCACAGGGATGATGAAGAACAGGAAATCTATTACTGATAATCCGGAGACTTTAATGCGAGATCTCATGAGAGATTTTCTAACGCAAATTGAAGTCAAGTTTGGATCTCTTTATCTGGAAACCTTTAAAGAGATAAACAAACTGATACTGGAGTTAGTTGAGGAGGGTGAGCTGAGTTCTATTGGGTTCATGGATAAGGAGTATGAAACCACTAATGAAGATCAAACTATATCCTACACAGTGTTCTCTAAGCTCTGTAAGAAATATCAATCTGTAAATATTGAAACTGAGACGGATTCAACCTTGAGCATTGATAAACGAGTTGACTGTTGGAAACCCTACCTGGAGATTGTCAGATTGTTTATCAACACATTCTCTCCAAGGTTTGAACTCAAGGTGGAGAAGGATAAAAACTTCTTCGCTCTGCTTTCCTTTGCAAGAGCTCAAGATAAATTCCAAGGTTTCAACATGATCATGAACATGAATCCAGATGTCTCAGTCACAGATAAATCTTCAGGAATGGATGCACTGTACACCTTGATAGAACGAGGATATACACCAGGAGTCAAGCTGTTGTTGAAGCAAGGAGCAAACCTGAATAGGATTAGAGTTCTAAAGAAAAAGAAAAAAGAAATTAAAGATACTCCACTTCTCTGGGCTCTGAACTTTAGTAATCTTGAACTCATCACAGCTTTAGTAGAGTCTGGAGCTAAGGTTTGTACCAAGGACCAAACTGGAGTATCTGCTCTTCATAAAGCTGTTCTAAACTGTGCTAAGAACAAAACCAAGAATAATCTGGAAATTATACGTCTTCTTCTCAATAATGGAGTTGATGTCAATGAAACCGATGATAAACTCCGAACCCCGATGCATGTAGCGGTTAACAGTGGAACAGCTGATCCAGACTCATCCCTAGACCTGGAGATGCTTCTGTTACGACGAGGAGGTTCTCTAAGTGCTCAGGATATCCGCGGACGGATCCCGCTGCATTATGCATTTGTGAAGGCGGGTCAGCACAAGGACACATTAATGGCTGATCCTATCCAGATCGTCAGCGCTCTTGTAGAAAGTTCTAATCCTGATCTTCTAAATACCAAGGATAACTTTGGATGTACTCCCCTTCATTATGCTGCAGTACGTGGAGCCACCGTCTGCTCTTTACTACTCCTAGAGAAAGGTTCAAACCTGGAGTCTAAGGATTTACATAGACAAACCCCTCTGTGCTACGCAGTTCTAGGGAAACATTATAGTTGCTCTCTCATCCTTATACAGAAAGATGCGAACCTTGATGTATTGGTTAAACCTGATCTACTTCTAGAGAAACCTAAAAAAGTTGATAAACATCTTTGGAAGTTTTTACCAGAACATTTTCCAAAAGATAATTCCAGAGAAATGCAGTCCTTGTTCCAGCAAATAGTTCTCAACGAATGGCTTGGAATAATCTACGTGGTTTTGGCAAAGTTTGACAAGTTTGGAATACCCTTTGTCACTGCTCTTGAGGTTTCAATTCGTCTCCAAAAATTTCAATTTGCAAAAACTTTGATCAGTAAACAAACTGATTTTTCTAAATTGCATGGAGTTATCTCTGAAGGAAGAAGCCTACTCTCTGCCCTGACCTATGAGTCCTATGGGTTGGATCAGAGAAAGACGGAGATAGCAGAAGATGTGCTCAATATGCTAGTTGAAGCAGGGCTCCAATGTGATCTGGTTGATGTCCATGGTTGTACTCCATTCCACTATGCCTGTCTGAACAAGAACAGTACTCTCATACAAAACTTGTTGCTGAGAAGTGATGTCATCAAGAGCATATTAAATCTATCCTGTCAGGCTAAATCTGCTCTGGCGGCATACTTCTGGATTTCAAAATCTTTCTCTGATGAAGATCTTAAAACTCTCCAAAAGCTGTTCGAAGCTGGGTTCAGTGTGAATGAAAAGTTTCCTGTTCCGGCTCAAAGCTTTATTTCTGGAGACTACACTTCAAATCTGACACGAGAGAACTTTTGTTTCCATAAAGGATTGGATATTGTGCTCACTCCTCTCATCCTGGCAATATCCAGGAGAGATCTATCACTGATAAAGTATCTTCTGAAGCATGGAGCTGATCCCAACCTTGAAGATTCACAGGGAAACTCTAGTCTAGTGTATGCTGTTAAAACTAATGATGTTGAGATCATTGATGAGGTTCTAGCTTGGGTTGATACTCAGGTAACAGGAATAAACGTCCTACTTCACACTATTGCTTTGGACCCGGAGAACCCTGATTCTCCGAGTTTTGATAACTTAAAGGTTTTTAAGAAACTGTTAAACAAACATTATACCTTGACTGCTAATGAGGAGGAGGAACTTGCAAGAGCAGCGTTGAGAAATGGAGCTTTAAACATATATAATTCATTCCCTGCTAATCTTAGGACCCAGATCAGGAAAGAGTTAAATCCTGTTCAGGAGAACGGATCAGGATTGAGCAAACTATCCCAAGATTACAACCAGGATGCAAAGATTATGCTGCACAAACTCGAATCAGAACTCAAACCAACTGAAAAGAAGGAGAAGGCAGTGCAAGCCGGTTGTATTGTATCGGATGGAGAAATCTACCAGGATTATCAAGTTCTACTCAACAAGGTTGATGTCAGTGTTGGAGCCTGGAGTTTATACAACTTCTATAGAATGCAGATCTGGAAGGATAACAACAAGGATCTCTATGTTCTGTTCACTAACTGGGGACGGATTGCAAGCTACTCCTCCGGCCAATTTCAAAATACTCCCTACTCTAAACCTGAGGACGCAGTTGAAGAGTTTAAGAAGATATTTAAGTCCAAGACTGGCAATGATTGGGAAAATGTGGAAAACTTTCAAAACCAGGCTAAAAAATATCGGCTGGTGAAAGTTGAACTGATGGAGCGGATTAAGAAGCCAGAGGTAAAGCTGAATCTAAAAACCAACCTGCCTCTGCAGCTACCTCTTCCCTTGGCCCATCTGCTCCACGACATGTCAGATTTTAACATGCTTCGACAAGCTTTTTCTCATGAAATAGACGTTGACTCAAGCAGTATTCCCTTTGGAAGGATTGATAGAGAAGTTGTTCAGAAAGCAAAAGAGTTGCTGGAGAAAATGAAGTCCAAGGTTGAGAAAAGAGAAAAGATTGAAGCGACCAAGTATACTAAGGCCAACACCAACTTTGAAGAGTTAGGACGGATAACTGAGGAGTTGTGTGAAATGAGTTCTGAGTATTATCATCTTGTTCCTAAGAAAGGATTTGAGTATGAAAAACTGTCTCCTATAGATAGTTTGAATACTCTCCATGAAGAGATGCAAAGAATGAATTATATCCTGGAGTTTGAGTTCTCCGAGGCTCTCCTTTTAGGAGCTATGTATCGGAGAACTAAAACCCATCCTCTGAATTATATCTACAAGGGATTAGGAGCCAGGATTCAGCTCCTAGAGGAGTCTAGCATTGAATCCCAGTTGTTGATGAAATATATGTACAAATCCAGAGGAGCGGCTCAGGTTCGGGTTCAAAGCATCTTCAGCGTTGACTCTGATAACTACCGGAGTAGCATAAACCCAACCTCAACTTCACGGGTTCTACTCTGGCACGGAACTAAACGAGCCAACCTAGCGAGTATTCTCCGCAACGGATTAGCCATTGATCCTCCCTATTCTATCAGAACGGGACGGATGTACGGAAACGGAGTATATCTGGCGGATATGTTTGATAAAAGCATATCTTACTGTGACCATGACGGAGAAAGCAAGGTTCTGCTCCTGGTCGAAGCTGACCTTGGTAAGAACAAAGTTCACAATGCTGAACACTATTATGACTCGGAGCAGAGTGATCATAAGAAGTTTGATTCTCTCCATGTCGAAGGATCTAATGCTCCGGATAAGAAAGGAGAGATAAGTAGTTCAGACGGAGTAAGAATCCCAACTGGAAATATCATCAAGGTTCCAATGCAGAAGACAAAGAACTCTTGGGGGCATTGGGATAATCGTCCAAACATGTCTGAGTATATTGTATTTAACGAGAGTAAGGTTCGGATTAGATATCTATTTTGTGTCGGAACCAAGAGCAGAGATATCCACAAACTTTTAAAAACATTCTCTGTAAATACAGACGAAATGGAGGTTGATGAGGACAGACGAGATGAGGATAAGGATGAGGATGAGGATGAAAGTAAAGTTGATAATGAGGATGAAGAAGAAGAAGAAGATGAGGATCAGGATGAGGATGAGGATGAAAGTAAAGTTGATAATGAGGATGAGGAAGAAGAAGAAGAAGATGAGGATCGACCACTAAGATTTCAAAACTTGTTTAACAGAACACCTGCAAAGATGCCATCAAAGACACCCGCAAAGGCTGCTGCAAAAATGCTTTTTAAAAGATTTTGAGAAATTAAGTCTCTGAATTCTTGTGATTTTTTAACTCTGCTTGAATAATTTTATCACTGTCATCAATTTTTGTTATAAAAATTTGCACTTTTAATCGCTTGAAATGAATTATTGTTGTTTTATCACTTCTCTATTTTTTACGATTTTGTTGGTTTGTCCTGACTCACAATACATGTCAAAACGCTGAAGTGCTTCAGTTATTTCATGTGTCTTACGATCATTTGGCTAGAATCATTTGTCCTACAAATCATTTGTCCTACACATCATTTGTCCTACACATCATTTGTCCTACACATCATTTGTTCTACACATCATTTGTCCTACACATCATTTGTTCTACACATCATTTGTCCTACACACCATTTGTTCTACACATCATTTGTCCTACACATAATTTGTCCTACAATCATTTGTCCTACAAAAAGAGGAATATTTCATTTGTCCTAACTAGTAACTATATTGTGAGTAAAATATATCGATACCAAATGTAAAAATGCAAAAAGACTGCAGATGTATCGAGGGGAAAAAGAAGTCCCCCCCCCCTTTTAGAGTTTAGCAAGTTGTTTGATTTTTACGATATATTTTCTGGATTTTCTTTTTTTAATTCAACCTTTTAAAACTACAGGGTGTCCCAATAATTAAACATGGGAATTCAGTGACGAATTCGATATCGTCTTTGCTATGAATTAGCATTATAATACCTAATTTAAAAGCCATAATATTATTATGTCTGCTATAGTTTATTTTATGAAAACGGTAAATGGCTGTTAAGATGTGTCTATAATGTCTCCGCAAGATGAACAGTGAAGACGGAAAAGTTTTAAAGAATTATTTAAAAAGAAAATATCAAATTCTTCACTGAATTCCGCAGTTTATTGGGACACCCTGTATTTTAGGACAAAGAAAGAACAGGAAAATCATGTTAAGAACAAATAACGTTTTCCTGTTTCCGTAGGAAAACAATATTTGTCGCACAAATGTCGTTGCTCGCCGTTCATCTACCTAAAGTTTTAATCGACAATTCAACATAAAGTTAGACATTAATTAATTAATTAATTAATTAATTAAGCATTTAAAATTCAATTAATTAAAACGTTGAAATGTATACAAGTACATGAGCAATTAATTCTAAAAAGTATTTTTATGAAAGAAAAGAGCTAAAACGGTTATTTACTCCCAAACTTCGTCTTCCTTATAAACTATCAAGTAAAGAATTTAAAATAAATCAAACCTGGATTAGATCGCTAATAGTTAAATTTGTATCTCAATATTTGTCTAAAGAAACATGACAGTTGGTAAATAGTTATGAATTAGTCATCTACTTTATATTAAAGGTTTTTTGCAGTTTATTTCAATAAAAAAATCTTCTTCTGAAACATATTTTACTCTGAAACTAATTTTACTATAACATGACTCCTATATAATATTTGTATTGTCGTCTTAGGTATCAAACAACTTAAAAAATTATGGAAGAAGACATTCTAAACTATTCACCAACTGTGATGCTTAATGAACAGTGCATACTAATTTCTGAGGAAAGCTTTAAAAGTTTTCTCTAATAAAATTATCAGAATTTTCTTATCAGTATTTTCGTGAGTTTTAACTTATTCAACCCTGATTTATCAATTTTAGTACCATGGGTTCCTCTATCAGATTTGTACTGAAATTGTTAAATGTCGTCTTACTATAACACAACCTTTTAAACTTCCGGATATTAAAGGATAAAAAGGTTTCAAATTTCTTTTGAAACCGCTTCAAAACATAAACGCTTTAATTAGTTTCAAGCAGTGACATCTAGTGTTGCTTTTTAAAAAGAAATTAAAAATTAATGAGACTAAAACTATTTGAAAAAATGTTTAGAATACTGGGTGGTCAATACAATGTGTTAATTGATTTATGTTCAGTAGGTAGCTAGGTAGATACTAAATACAGAGATGTTCAGAAAACATTGATTTTAAATCTGTGACACGAAATTAGATTAATTTAGCAAACTTGTGATACTGGGTTACCCACAAAGGATGAGACTTCAGGGACGACTGTACGGTATTTGGTTAGTCTTTATAACTTATGTTACATGGTTGCAGATTTGCTTTAATCATACAAGATAAAACATAAACTGAATTAGGTCGTCATTAAATTCTCCTCCTTTTGTGGGTAACCCTGTATGAAAATTAGTTTAAACTAGTGCTTTATTATTTCTTCCAAAATAAACTAATGTCTCATGACAAACGAACCCACCTGCAAGTATTTTTTGTAAAAATAATTGGATTCCATTGTCGACATTAAAGAAAAAGATAGAAAACACTTTTTCCGTGTTCTTACATGGGAGAGTGGAACATTTTATTCTTTAAATATATCAATATATCTATTTTTATGTCATTGTAAAGGGTATTTTTAAGTGCGAAAAAGTTTTTGCCGGGATTTTTATTTTTTCTATAGTTTGTTTTCGATCAAAATAAAAGTATTTTCACACCGAACCCATTTGAATAACATATATATATAGTTTTATTCAATTTTACTCAAATTATTTAAAAGCAGATCGATAAAGTTACTTAATTACCCTGTTTTAGGGTGATTAAGTAACTTTATCATGCCCTGCAATGAAATAAATTAGGTATGAAGGTTGAAATTTTAATAGCAGGGTGAAAAAGTTACTTTTTTGCCCTGTTGAAGGGCAATAAAGTCACTTAATCACCCTTCAACGGGAAATATTAGGTGTGATAAATTCCATCAAAATTGAATAAAAATGTTTATAATATGCTTTGATCTCTATTTAATGTTTTTCAAATTACAAGTTTACAAGTAAACAAAGAGAAGCAATTAATTGTCAATTTCTCTTTGTTTACATATTTACGTTTCTCTGCTTTTAGAAGCTTAGTAGAATTCAAAGTTAAAATAGAATGTCGTCTTTATAGTATTGATGTACGACGATAACTGTATTAAAATGATAAATAGTTCTTTTCAAATTAATCTTAGAAATATGTCAAGTCTAGGGTTGTTAACTGTTTTTAATCCCTTTCACTTAAAAATACTTCCAACATTTTAAAACAATTTTTTTTGTTAAAGATTGATATTATTAAACTCTGCCATATGAAATCAGAATAATATTTGATATATTTGATGATGCCTCTTTCAAGTCACTTGATCAGACAAAGACTGAAAGGGTATCGTTGTGAATTGGACTAGCCAATTACGTCTAGAGTATCTTAATGAAACCCAAGGTACTAATGCAAAGAAAGTTAATTGCAGTTGCGTATACCAGAATAGATGCATCAGTGTTCGTATAGTATCCGAGGAGGATAAAAGTATTTAATTTTGATAATTTTGATAATTCACATAATAGTTTCCTATGACCAGAATATTTCATTAATTTTTTATGTGAAAGATGGATCCCATGACAGGCTTCGACATCCGTCTTGTGTTTACATTACCGCCCAGTGACAGTACACTGCAGTACAAAAGATGCGTACACCTCTGAAATAACTTCCCTTGCATTAAATCCTTGATGAAAACAGTCCATATCTTGAAAACCTGTTCCGTATTTCTTCCCAGAAAAAAATAGTGTCTCAATTAAAAAAATCCAATTTTCTCTCAATCTCAAAAAAGACATTAAATATTAAAATACAAGAATAAAATATAATTTAATCGAATAGTAAATAATATGAATTAAACAATAGCTGCCATAGTGATATATATTATATACAGGGTAGTTACAAAGGATGAGACTCAAATGACGACTCAAAATTCTTTATAAATGATTATTTATAAGTTGAATTTGGGGTTTTAGCAAAGTCGTCTCCTTTGTGGGCTACCCTGTACCTTTGCGGGCTACTCTGTATCTTTGACAAAATTTATTTAAACTCTTGTCCGAACTCATTCTTGATCCAGGGATAGGAATCCGGGCATTCCTTGCACGTGTACAGATACCTTTCACGGCGTAGCTCACGGGAGTCAAGCTTACAAACTCTAAAATAGTCAATTAGTAAATCAATTAGCATATTAAGACGATTAGTTAAAATATTTAGATGATTAATCAATGATAAAAATTATGATGGTAAACTGATCAATCAGAATGTATAAGATGGTTAATTGATTGAACAGCATCTTTAAATAATCAATAAATATTTAAGTATTCAATTCATAATTTTTAGATGATTAATCTTTATAAGCATTAAGCATATTTAGATGATAAAACAGCATATCTAGATGATCAATCAGCATATTCAGAAAATTTGAGAGATCGATTAATAAGTCAGCATATTTAGATGATCACATAGTGTATTTAGATGATCACATAGTGTATTTAGATGATCACAAAGTATATCTAAATGATCATATAGTATATCTAGATGATCACATAGAGTATTTTGGCGATCACATAGTGTATTTAGATGATCACATAGTGTATCTAGATGATCACATAGTGTATTTAGATGATCACATAGTGTATTTAGATGATCACATAGTATATATAGATGATCACATAGTGTATTTAGATGATCACTTAGTATATCTAGATGATCACATAGTGTATTTATATGATCACATAGTATATCTATAAGATGATTACATAGTATATCTAGATGATAACATAGTATATCTAGATGATCACATAGTATATCTAGATGATCACATAGTATATTTAGATGATAACAAAGTAAATCTAGATGATCACATAGTGTATCTAGATGATCACATAATTTAGATGGTAAATTTGCATATTTAGGTGATAAAACAGCATATCTAGATGATCACATAGTATATATAGATGATCACATAGTATATATAGATGATCACATAGTATATATAGATGATCACATAGTATATATAGATGATCACATAGTGTATCTAGATGCTAACATAGTATATCTAGATGATCACATAGTGTATCTAAATGATCACATAGTATATTTAGATGATCACATAGTATATTTAGATGATCACATAGTATATTTATATGATCACATAGTATATCTAGATGATCACATAGTATATTTATATGATCACATAGTATATTTAGATGATAACATAGTATATCTAGATGATAACATAGTATATCTAGATGATCACATGGTATATCTAGATGATCACATAGTATATATAGATGATCACATAGTATATCTAGATGATCACATAGTATATTTAGATGATCACATAGTATATCTAGATGATCACATAGTATATTTATATGATCACATAGTATATCTAGATGATCACATAGTATATTTATATGATCACATAGAATATCTAGATGATAACATAGTATATCTAGATGATAACATAGTATATCTAGATGATCACATAGTATATCTAGATGATCACATAGTATATTTATATGATCACATAGTATATCTAGATGATCACATAGTATATCTAGATGATCAAATAGTATATTTAGATAATCACATAGTATATTTATATGATCACATAGTATGTCTAAATGATCACTTAGTGTATTAAGATGATCACATAGTATATTTAGATGATCACATAGTATATTTATATGATTACATATTATATCTAGATGATCGTATAGTGTATTTAGATGATCACAGAATGTATTTTGGTGATAAAACAGCACATAGATAACCAATTAGGATATGATGGTGAATTAAAAATCAGAAAGCAAATTTGAATGATTAACCAGCATGATCAAAGTATTTAAATGCTTAATCAATCAATCAATGAGTACCTGGGAATATTACAGGCCTGCTCCTCTACCGGAACCGGTTCTGTGCACGTGTTCCAAGGTAGGAAAGATTCCATTTCCGCCAGAGGAGTTGGATTCTGCATCCACTGTATTGCCTCCCAGTTAGAGACAATATAAACATCCTTCCTCTTGACCTAGAGTAATAGGTTAGATAAACACTTAAAGGGACTGTTATTATGAACTTAAAGGAACTGTAATTATGAACTTGAAGGGACTGTAATTATGAACTTAAAGGGACTGTAATTATAAACTTAAAGGGACTGTAATTATGAACTTAAAGGGACTGTTATCATGAACTTAAAGGGACTGTAATTATGAAGTTAAAGGGACTGTAACTATTAACTTAAAGGGACTGTAACTATTAACTTAAAGGGACTGTAATTATGAACTTGAAGGGACTGTAATTATTAACTTAAAGGGACTGTTATTATGAACTTGAAGGGACTGTAATTATGAACTTAAAGGGACTGTAATTATAAACTTAAAAGGACTGTAATTATGAACTTAAAGGGACTGTAATTATGAACTTAAAGGGACTGTTATTATGAACTTAAAGGGACTGTAATTATGAACTTAAAGGGACTGTAATTATGAACTTAAAGGGACTGTTATTATGAACTTAAAGGGACTGTAATTATGAACTTGAAGGAACTGTAATTATGAACTTAAAGGGACTGTAATTATAAACTTAAAGGTACTGTAATTATGAACTTAAAGTGACTGTTATTATGAAAATAAAGGAACTGTAATTATGAACTTAAAGGGACTGTAATTATGAACTTAAAGGGACTGTAATTATGAACTTGAAGGGACTGTAATTATGTACTTGAATGGACTGTAATTATGAACTTAAAGGGACTGTAATTATTAACTTAAAGGTAAAAACATATAATCAGGAAAAAAACATATAATCAAGAAAAAACATATAAACAGGAAAAATAAACATATAATCAGAAAAGAAAAAACATATAATCAGGAAAAAACATATAATCAGGAAAAACATATAATCAGAAAAAAATATAAAATCAGGAAAAAACATGTAATCAGAAAAAAATATATTTAGTCAAGAAAAAAATATATAATCAAGAAAAAAACATATAATCAGGAAAAAACATATAATCAGAAAAAAAACATATAATCAGGAAAAAACATATAATCAGAAAAAAATATATTATCAGGAAAAAACATATAATCAGGAAAAAAACATATAATCAGGAAAAAGCATATAAATAGAAAAAAAGATAAAATTACCATATCGTCGAGGAATTTCCTGAAGGCAGCTCTGTTCTTCTTCTGCTTAAACCACAAGGTGTGGAAGTAGAGTCCTAGAGGAGCTCGGTTCGTGTCATAATGTCGCCTAGAATTTCAAGGATTAAATAGATTAAAAGTTTTTGGGTTTATAAAAAGTGAGATGATAATGATTATAAAATACAATAGATTATAAAATACAATAGATTATAAAATACAATAGATCTATATCGTTGCACTGGATAATCCTTTTGGTTACCACCAAGAAAGATGTATTACTTTAATTTCTCACGAACACTCCCTTTTGTTCAACTGTTTTAGAATTTGCGGGAAATGTTTTTTATTTGGCTGGAAATATTTTTGAATTTACCATGGCGCAGCTGAATTCTTCCATTGTAATCTGGTTCAGCGGCATCTCCCATATTCCAGGGAAAGATCGAGAAGGACATTGTCTGTTGCCTGGAAGAGTTAGAAAAAAAATTTTATAATTTTTATTTTTTTTATTTTTGTTGTTTTTGTAAATAGAAAATAAAAAATACTGGAAAAGTGTTTTTAAACTATTTTGATTATCCCTTTGGGTAAAACACCATACATAACGTACAGTTTTGTTGTTACTGGACTGATATGCAGTACTTATATCCAATTATAAAAATTTATTATGATTGATCATATGTTTAATTATAAACTTNTTCTTCCAGAAACTTTTTTCCCAGGACATAGATTCTACTTAAATCTTAGAGCACTTTTATTAACCTTAGTTTTTTCTCGTCGATTTTTGATTGAGAGGTTGCAATCTTTCGGATCGTTGTGGATTGATTTGTTATCTTATTTAAACAATACAAATATGGTATAATTAAGTGGAAAGCTTAAACAGTTATATTTTTGATCTAAGAAAAAATTCTGTCAATTTCCTTCTGTGTCTTTACTGAATAAATCCGCTATTTGCTTTTCAAAACCTGACATTACTCTATAAATTGTTCATAATATTTGCCTGACCCATCTAATCTTATGTACTCTTTATCAGTCAAAGCTTTTCATGGTACTGTTGTGAATCGGACATGGGAATTACTTGAAATGGTTCCTAACCTGTTGATAATATTTGCCTGACCCACCATCTCATCAAACCAATCTTCTATAGTTGCATTCTTACCCCACCATTCCTCAGGACCTTTGTGGGTTATACTGTGTACTGCAATCTCATGCCCCTGTACAGTGTACAGTGTAGTGTAAAACACATAAATCACATTTTACAGTAAGAACGTATAAAAAGCTTTTAAGAGCAATTGAAACCAATTCCTTGAACAAAATCCACAAAATTACAACATTTTCGAAGACGACATTTAATAATCTAACCTGATTCCAGAGTTTCTGTACCATAGCATAATTTGTATACTGATGAGAGACATAGAAGGTTCCGTGGATCGGACATCCGTTCGGGTTCTTATATAGAAGATAAACATTATTTTCCATTTAGAAACATTTTTTTCAGTTCTTGCAACAACCACTAATTTTTAATCCCTTTAGTTAGATAGATAAGGAGATATGGAGATAAGGAAATATAAGGATATATAAGGAGTTAAGGATATATAAGGATAGATAAGGAGATAAGGATAGATAAGGATATATAAGGATAGATAATGATAGATTAGGAGATAAGGATATATAAGGATAGATCAGGATAGAAAAGAGATTAGGTTAGATAAGGAGATAAGGATAACTAAGAATAGACAAGGATAGATAAGGAGATAAGAATAGATAAGGAGATAAAGATAAATAAGGATAGATAACGAGACAAGGATGAACTACACCTTGAATCCTGGTGGGAAGAGTTTCTCCTGGTACAGTTCCCAGTTTTCATCATTCACAGCATCATCAAAGGTTATGATTATCATCTAATGTCAAACCATAAAAATTTATCCGGGGGGAAATACTCAACATTACTATAATGAAATAAGAGATGTGTTCAAACACATGTGTTCATTTTGAATATATTTAGAAGACACTAGTCCGACAGTCTTAATAGCTAAACTAAAATGTTCTCTGTGAAAATTGAGTTTAAGCCTTGTAGATTCGCGCCATTTCATACAAAAGTTCAGCTGGGAACTTTTGATCTCGATATCCACAGTGCCCTAATAATTAAAGGATCAATGCTTAATCTCTTTATTTAAGTTATCTATTACTCCATGGTACGATTACCATGCGGGATATGGATTAAAGGTAATCTCCAGATTAACTCACTTTGTTCATTAAAAAGGTTCTTTATCATTATGAATTTTATTTTGAATGGTTTCCTGAGGAACATCTTTAGGATCCAGGTTGCCAGGTATCTTGGTGCCATCGGAGGAGCAGAAACAGTCCGGCAGGGAGCAGTTGGAGTAATCACAGAACGGAGCAGAGTTAGGATCGTGCTCTGGGTCACACCAACCCTCGTCACTTCCGTCAAAACAGTCGGGGTGTCCGTCGCAGAACAGCTCTGTCGGGAGACAAGAACTGGAAAGATTTCAGTGTTGAATTTAACAATATGAAAGAAGTTTTTTTGTGAAGGGGGCTTATTATCTTTCTAAAAATATTTTTCTATGTAATAAAATGAGTTTTCACACGTTTAACTTTTTTTTAAATCCAAAATCATCATGTCTTGAAATTGACAATAATCAGTAGTTTTCTCCAGTAGGGTTCAGAAAACTGTAGAATATGAAGACGACAATTATGTGTATTTAATGTTATTATGCAGCAAAAACTTACCCATCACTGCATGCTGTTTCTCCTGTTCTACAGATAGGTTCGTCTGTATATAGGAGGGGTTTAGGAGTAGTTTGCTCAGCTATCACATCACAGTTGTCCACAGATTCCTGATCAATAACATACAGGGTTATTACCCTCAAAGGATAAGACTTCAGAGACGACTAGGTACGGAATTTATACTGTCTTATTCTTTATATTCATGATTCCCTGCAACTGTAAATTTAAGCCATAAAAGACTGTATTCAAGATAAAAGTCTTTATTTAACTTTGGGATTCTTATATTTAAAGAAATTCAGACCATCTTTACAATCTCATCCTTTGTAGGTAACCCTGTATATAATGGGACTGTTTACTCAATTTCAAAGTGACCCTCATTTCAAAAGTGTCATGCTTGATTCACAACTGTACCCTTTGACTTTTATCTGATCAATAATGTGAAAGATATTGTCGTTTTTCAAGCATTTTTATATGTTTTTTTTCTTACAAAACTTGTGTGATATTCTTTTCCCGTTTTAAATTAACCATTTTCACTGTGTTTCTCTATAAAGTGACTATCGAATTTCTTCTTCAGAAATAACTGTCCGAATTAAACACTTTCAAAGCTAGAAAAACGAACATTTCTTCTACACTCATTGATTCAATAAAGGTTTAAAGGGTATCGGATTTTTAAAGTTTATAATTTATGCAGTTGAGACGAAAAAGAAAATTTACAGAATTTATCTCACTCGAGATTACGTTTACAGTCCCTTTAATAAACACGTGATAGAGTCCCTTTAATAAACACGTGATAGAGTCCCTTTAATGAACATGTGATCGAGTCCCTTTAGTGAACACGTAATAAACCCTTTAATGAACACGTGATCGAGTCCCTTTAATGAACACGTGATAGAGTCCCTTTAATGAACACGTGATACAGTCCCTTTAATGAACACGTGATCGAGTCCCTTTAATGAACACGTGATACAGTCCCTTTAATTAATATGTGATGGAGTCCCTTTAATGAACACGTGATAGAGTCCCTTTAATGAACACGTGATACGGTCCCTTTAATGAACACGTGATAGAGTCCCTTTAATGAACACGTGATACAGTCCCTTTAATGAACACGTGATACAGTCCCTTTAATGAAGACGTGATACAGTCCCTTTAATGAACACGTCATAGAGTCCCTTTAATGAAGACGTGATACAGTCCCTTTAATGAAGACGTGATACGGTCCCTTTAATGAAGACGTGATACAGTCCCTTTAATGAACACGTGATCAGAAAATTTTAGTTTGTGGCAAGAACGTTTAATGAAGACGTGATACAGTCCCTTTAATGAACACGTGATCAGAAAATTTTAGTTTGTGGCAAGAACGCTCGTCCTCTAACTTAAAACTATACATTCAAAACTGAATAGTGTCACCCATATAGGAATATTTTCTTTTTACAAAAACTCATTAAAAAGGGCCATTTAGGTTCTGGACGGATTATAAATTCATTCAGGGTATCTTAGATTTAGTTGTCCAAGGAGGCCGATTCAGCGCTGGGATTAGAACATATTAAAAACTCACCGTAAAATCACAGATCTGTCTCCGAATATCGAACTTAAGTCCGGTTGAGCACTTGAAATCAAATACCTCCCCTTCTATACACAGATAATACTCGGCACATTCTTTCTTCCTGGGACAGTTAGATATTCTTGCAAAGGGTTTAGGACAGCTGAGAGGAACAGACGGAGGAAAGGAGTCAGGATTTAATAAAATAGAGAGAAAAAAAATTAAATAGGCGTAAACAGTTCAATTTGCCACAGACTCAGATTATCAAGTCCCAATATCTTTGCAACCCAAAGTCGTCAACTTAAGATATTTTAAAGTACGTATTCAGTTAGATCAAATAATCTCAATTTAAAAATCAACGGTTTAAGCTAAGCTATTCAAAAGTTTTGCTCTTAGAAGAACTAGTAAGACTGCTACAACTATTTCTCGTTATTCATTAATTAAGACCCCAGAATTGGAAAGAGGAGAGAGATTCAAAGAAATAATAAAAGAGGAATGTGAAGGGGGGATGAGAATAAGAATAAGATTATAACGTAGATTATGGTTCTAATCAGAACTTGGAATCAGATTTTAACGTAAATCATGGTTCTAATTAGAGCTTGGAATCGGATTCTAACATAAATAAGGGTTCTAATTTAAGCTAGGAATCAGATTCTAACGTAAATCAGGGTTCTAATTAGAGCTTGGAATCAGATTTTAACGTAAATCAGGGTTCTAATTAGAGCTTGGAATCAGATTCTAACGTAAATCAGGGTTCTAATTATAACTTGGAATTGGATTCTAACGTAAATCAGGGTTCTAATTAGAGCTTGGAATAAGATTCTAACGTAAATCAGGGTTCTAATTAGAGCTTGGAATCAGATTCTAACATAAATCAGGGTTCTAATTATAACTTTTAATCGGATTCTAACGTAAATCAGGGTTCTAGTTAGAGCTTGGAATCGGATTCTAACGTAAATCAGGGTTCTAATTAGAGCTTGGAATCGGATTCTAACGTAAATCAGGGTTCTAATTAGAGCTTGGAATCGGATTCTAACGTAAATCAGGGTTCTAATTATAACTTGGAATCGGATTCTAACGTAAATCAGGGTTCTACTTAGAGCTTGGAATTAGATTCTAACGTAAATCAGGGTTCTAATTAATACTTGGAATCGGATTCTAACGTAAATCAGGGTTCTACTTAGAGCTTGGAATTAGATTCTAACGTAAATCAGGGTTCTAATTAGAGCTTGGAATCAGATTCTAACGTAAATCAGGGTTCTAAGTAGAAATAGGTATCAGAGTGAGTGGGAAGAAATGCTGAAAGGAGAGGTTTAGGAAAGGGGTTTGAGATATGAGGGACGGGGGGTGATAAAAACTTTTTAAAAGAAAATTCATTTTATTTCAAAAATAACCTGTGAATGTGCTCTTGAGGAGTTTTGGGATTTCTAAACGAATTCCCATATTTAATTGTTTAATTTTTAGTCGAATGATTCACGGGTAATTTACACGTGTACATTTTTAATAACACGTGTTCTAAAAAGTTTTAAATTTCAAGTTTATGTAAGAAAGATCTTAGTCCTGAATTGAAGATCTTTACTTGTACTTGGATCTCTACAATATGGATTCCCATGAGAAAAAGAAGAAGTTTTCTTTCAAAATATTTTTTAGATGATTGTGAAGTTTACAGAGAGTTCTAAAAAACATTCAGCTATTGGTAATTTTCAACTCGTCATTTATAAACGCGGCATGTGTATTGGGACTCTCTGTATTAGCATGATTACAATATTTCTGATATTATTTAATCAGAATTTTGGTGGGAATTTTCCTGTAAAATTTTCCATTCTCAATACACTGGATCCTTTCTCTGAACCCGCCCCTGTCGTCTCTCTCCGGGTCCGGGAGACACAGAGAGAACTGGAGAACCAGGAGGAACAGTTTCATACCTAAACATGAACCGGGGTTGGAGAAACAGGGTGTCCCACGAAACATGACAGTTGGTGAATAGTTTTTAATGTCTTCTGTCATATACTGTATTAGATATTATAGACTTTTTGTAGTTTATTTTGTTTTAAAAAATCTTTTACTCAAATATATTTTACTTTGAAACCAATTTTACTGTCAGAGATGAGTCCCATACAATATTTTTTTTTATTCTCTTTGGTATCAAACAACTTAGAAAATTTTGGAAGAAGACAGTTTAAACCATTCACTGACTGTCATGTTTCGTGGGACACCCTTTAAACTTTTTTAATAAATAAGGTGGAATCGTCGTATTTCTAGCTCAAAAAGTGTTTAATTCTTACAATATCCTTTACTGTTTCTGTAGCAAAATATCCGCAAGTCACTTAGGTAAGGGAAACCAAAATTGAGATTAATTTTTTTAAAAGAAAGCTTATTAATACATTATTCATTGTTGATGAGACAATGTTTTTAAGGGCACCGTTGTGAATTTGACTTTAATTCAAAATTGACACTTTAGTAGCTAGCGGTCACTGAAAATTAAGTCTACAGTCCCTTTAAATTTTTTAAGATGTGGTGCCAGAGCCCGCAATTTTTTAAAATTCAAATCTAAACTGTCGTTGGGTCTTATTTACGGCTTGAGCTTTCGGATTCAAGCTGCATCTTATTTTCCACAGATTTGAGTTCAAAAATCAGTTTAATATTCTATTTGGCGGATTTTCACGATTGGAATTTGGAATTGACGCATTCCGGGTTTTAATGAGAACAAGGCTCAACATTGACCCTTATTATCTACTAAAACCGACCAAGGTCGGTTTTATTTTCATTGGGCCTATCTCATAAGATCTTGCAGCTGTCAATCACGTGACAAAAGTTGTTGTTAGAGTTGGGTCGAAAATCGGGTCTCAAAGTCGGGTTTACGGAATTACGGCTCGAGCCGAAGTTTTTAAATCGCGGGCTCAGGTATAATAAAGGAAGGAGTTGAGTCGAACTCGAATTTTCTAATCACTATAAGTGTGAAACCTGCTGTGTAAACCTTGGATATATCAAACTTTTATTATAAATTATATCAGAGTTCATAGTTAGAAATATCTAGGAATATCTAAAGTCTTCGACATTGGGTCGCAAAGATATAGGGATCAGAAAATCAGAGTTTGTGTCAAAGCCTCCATTCCTTTAGATTTTCAATTACTTCTTGTGCATTTAGAGGATTTCAGAGAAAATGTATTGTTAGAATAAATATATAAAAAAACTGTGTCAATTATAAATCTTAGGACCTGAAGCCTGTATCCTGTATTCTCAAAACAGTATTCTGTATTTCCTATCCTGTATCTTGTATCCTATGTAAGAGTGTACCGGGAGCAGGATGAATGTGTATGTGTAGGAGGAGAAGGAAAAGATGAAACTGAGTGTTGGACCAGGATTGAAGGGAAACCAAGGATCAAGAGTTCGTAACCTCATCAAACCATTACAATTCATCTCCCTAGTGCCCTCTATACACCCTATAGACCCTATATTGTCCCGACTAAAGGTGAAAGTGATAATTATTTTCCTGTGCACTCAAACTTTCTCTAAATTACTAAATCCATGTTTTTTTCAACCCCGGTAGAGTGTTTAAAAATTTAATCCATGTTTTTGATTTCTCCGAGTCATTGGTTAAACCGTATGTATGCAGTTATATATTGCATGCGTCTACTGCAGCTTCAAGCATTGAGCTAAGAGACGGCAGGTTCAATCCTTCTCTCGGAGTATATACATTATTACTCCTTTGTCGGAGTATATACATTACTACTCCTTTGTCGGAGTATATACATTTCTACTCCTTTCACGGAGTATATACATTACTACTTCTTTCTCGGAGTATATACTTTACTGATCCTTTCCAGGAGTAAATACATTACTACTTCTTCCTCGGAGTATAAACATTACTATTTCTTTCTCGGAATTTATACATTACTACTCCTTTCTCGGAATATATACATTACTATTTCTTTCTCGGATTATAAACATTACTACTCCTTTATCGGAGTATATACATTACTACTTCTTTCTCGGAGTATATACATTACTAATTCTTTCTCGGAGTATATACATTACTACTCCTTTGNTCCTAGATTAAATAAAAAAATTTAAAAACAGAAAATAAAGAACACACAACATCGTCTTTCTCGGAGTATATACATTACTACTCCTTTCTCGGAGTATATACATTACTACTCCTTTCTCGGAGTATATACATTACTACTCTTTTCTCGGAGTATATACATTACTACTCCTTTCTAAGAATATATACACGGTGTATATATAATACTACTGTTAGTACATTGTTACTCCTTTATCTAGGTTTCCATGGTTTTTCTCTAGGATGTGCTCGACGCCTAGATTCCCATCACCATCGCACCCCCACCCATTGATAGAAAACAGGAAAGTTTTTTTTTCATTGCTACTACAAATTAATTAGTGCAGAACCATTGATGGTTCTCTAAAAGTTACTGTTAACATAATTTCAAATTATCATCCGTTTAAAATAAAGATAGTCTCGTTGTTTTAACTGAAAACGTTGCTGAATTCAGACATATTCCTTCATTATCTCAGCAGCATGAATCCACAAGTCATTTTAATAAAGAAACCAAAATTTAAAATAATAAGATAATTAATAAGATAAATAATAAGAAATTAAAATAATAGGGTTTCTCACTAAAAATGATTCGACAAATGGAACACAGAAAAATTGCATCTATATTTGTCTCTTTAAAAGTATCTTAATCTATTTGTAAAAGTGGCCTGATACTTTTAGGTTTCTGTCGTCTGAAATGTTTAAGCTTTTAAAGAAATATATTTAGAAAGAACGTTATTTGAAGAATTAGGAATAATATTTATTTTTAAAACAACATTTTTCTGGCAGAGATCTAGACAATAGAAAATTATGAAAGTTATTTATTGAGTTTTAAAACTGCACCTTGACCTTATGTTTACCTCACTCATTCACTTTTTCTTTTTTGTAGCATTGAAAATGTACATTTGGAGACTGCAACGCGCACGGGAAACTGCAACGCGCGTGTTTCAATGAAAACTCTTGCGTTAGAAAATGCAAAAATATTTTTGTTAACAGTATCTCCAGGTTTCCGTTATAAATGTGATTTAATGTTATAAGCAAAGCTATTTAAAATTGATACATTAATTAAAATTAAATGTCTTCAAATATTTGTATGCCTATGTATGCCATTCATGCCCCCCCCCCTTCCATGTTGCATTTCACGACCAAAGTTATAATGCAAGGAAAGTTAATTTCAGTTGTGTATACTCAATTACAATAGGTAGCAGCAGAGAAATGGACCAATTATACATGACGTCACAAGTGTCAAATATAACAAGGAAGACAACATTCTCTCCCATTATAGTTGATGTTTTCCTAGACTAAATAAAAAAATTTAAAAACAGAAAATAAAGAACACACAAAATTGAACTTATTTCACTGTAAGATAAGCACTTTATTATCACTTTTATTAATAATTTTGTCGGACACATGAAACTGTTGACACTTGTGACTTAAGAATACATCTGTACTGAGAGTGTACAAATTCTATGTTGCCATCTATTATACTTGATAATCTATTTGGATGCATCAGTGTTCGTTTAGTATCCGAGGTGGGTTAAAAGCATTAAATTTTGATAATTTTGATAATTCACATAATAGTTTCCTATGACCAGAATATTTCATTGATTTTTTATGTTAAATATGGAACCCATGTCAGGTTTCGACATCCGTCCTGTGCTTGTACATTGCCGGCGTACCGCCCATAGACAGTACACTGCAGTACAAAAGATGCATACACCTCTGAAATAACTTTCCTTGCATTAGTACCTAGTTCATGACCATCATATAGAATTGCAAACTGTAAACTTGTAGTCCTAAACCAATTACGTTTCTACAACGTCATTATTTCACAATTTCTGACATTGTAAACGTTTTTAAAGATAGGAAAATCATGGAGAGAATATAAACATGATTGGCAGGGAACCAGTGTAAGTATATTGAATGTGAGAGGGATACGGTTTAAAGATAGGAAAATCATGGAGAGAATATAAACATGATTGGCAGGGAACCAGTGTAAGTATATTGAATGTGAGAGGGATACAGTTAAAAGATAGGAAAATCATGGAGAGAATATAAACATAATTGGCAGGGAACCAGTGTGAGTATATTGAATGTGAGAGGGATACGGTTTGTTGAGGAAGTATCGTTTATTCAAAGAAATAACAAAGATTGCAAAAAAAACGGTTGTAATTTTCCTTGGGCTGAATCTACGTAAACGAGAAAAAATATTTTGAAAAAAATCTAGAGATAAAACTTTGTCCCAATTTCCGGCTTTGGCATGTAATCGAATTAGAACAAGAAAAAAACGTTTCAAAATTTAAAAAAATTCTTTCAAAGGCCTCCTTTTCAGAGCACTCTTTTAGAGAACTTGCTTGATGGTTACCGGGAGACTGGGCTTGTTTACTAACTGTTCTTTATTTTTGTTAAACTCGTTCCTAATACGTCATAGTGAATTGTTTATAACCTAAAAACAAGTGTAATTTTAAGTTTTAGCTTTTTTCTGTTAGAAAATGCACTAGGCTACATTTGTTGCATAAAAAGTGTTGTGTCGACTTTAGACTGAACAATACGACTGAATGCATTGCATGTACAGTATAACATGTTGTACTGGATCGGATCTTGCAACTTTTAGAGTGTGGTGTAATATGGTCTAATATTGATTTTGATGAGCGTACTCAGTACAACAGATATATTATATATTTTTCTTTATAATTACAGATATTTGAGATTATAATATTTTCCATTAAATATAGTTTTTAAGTTCCGACTATAAAATCAGTAACATATTTTACAAAAATAACAGTAGCCGAAATTTTGGATATTTTTGAAATCGCATGAAAGAGAGAGACTCCCATCTTTTAAACGGGGTACAGAACTTGTTATTTAGCCATCTTACTCCGCGTAGCTTGGATTCAGCCGGATAAAAATATTATAATATTTTTATAATTATGAACGATCAAAACTTATTGATTCATAATCATATAATAAACAACGCTTTAAAAAGTGTTTCAGGAGGAAATATTAAAAACCCTAAAAAAAAGAATTGTGGGAATATTTCTTCACAGATTCTAAAAATGCTTATTTATTTTTTTATATTTAGATTCATTAGTAGGTTGTTAGCATTTTTCGACGATGAACTCACAACTCACAGGAATAAGAAATGTAGATTTGATTTTAAGGGGACTGTAAGCGTAATCTCAAGTGACCCGCCACGCAAAAATTACATTGCCCGATCTACAACGTTATCCTTGAAACCTTTATCTGATCTGTTTAATTTAGATAGTTCATATATGTTTCCCTGCAGTAGAAATACGCACGTCACTTTTGTTTATAAATCCCATTTGCGAAAATAATCAGTTTTCAAAATTAAAAACGATGATATCTTTGCTTGGAAGGTCACTTGAAATTACGTTTACAGAACCTTTAATAAAGAAAAAAAAAATTGTGTTTTTTACTTGTTCAGATCTAATTTCATCCAACCAGACTGCAATTTTATGGGAAACATCGCTCATTTTTAAAACTTTTCAGATTCGTTCTGTTCACCGTTTTAAATTTTGAGATCAGACCATTTAAATTTAAAAAGACATGTTTTTTATGAATATCATAATAAGAAAATATAACAATAATGTTCTAACAAATCAGTATTTTCTAATAATGCGTGAAAAATATAATATATAGATTTTAGATATGGTAATATATATACACTTAAATGATGTTGAGCGTGTTTTTTTTTTGCTTTTGTTTCACAAGTATTAGTTTTTCGAACCGAAACCGTGAAAGCTAGTAATAACAACTATTTTTCAAAAATAAACAATTCTGTGGTTTATAAAAAAAAAAGATGCTCAACATTATCAAAAGAGGATAACAATCTACAGAGTTGGCGCAGTTTAACTTCATAACAATCAACTCTGTAAATAGTCATCCTCTTCGTCTTTTTTAAATAAAAAAGGCAAAAATTATGACATGTATGTTCAATGTTTATGATTCTCCTTTCCTCTCCATCTTTTTTTTTAGAATTTTTCTGTTTCTTCAAAGTGATTTTTTCTTTGTGCGCTGTCTTGGATCCTTTTTCTTGTCACCTTCGGTCACTAGAAAAGAAAAATATGTTTCCCGGATTTTTGGATTTAACGACGAAAGACGACATTTGAACAAACCTTTGGCGAAATCCAAGGATCTGAGATTAGGAAGGATGGATATAACTGCAGCCCTGTAGTTAGGATAGTTCTCTATAGGGTTCCTAAATAATAAGTGGTTTGGATAGTTCTCTATAGGGTTCCTAAAAAAAAGTTTTTAAGATAGTTTTCTACAAGGTTCCAAAATTAATAGTTGTAGTTAGGATAGTTTTCTATAGGGTTCCTAAATAAAAATTTGTTATAATAGTTTTCTATCGGGTTCCTAAATAAATAGTTGTTAGGATAGTTTTCTACAGGGTTCCTAAATTAAAAATTGTTGGGATAGTTATGGGTTCTAAAAATAAGTAGCTGTTAGGATAGTTTTCTATAGAGTTCGTAAATAAATAGTGGTTAGGATAGTTTTCTATAGGGTTCATGAATTATAAGTTGTTAGGATAGTTCTGGGTCTAAAAATAAGTAGCTGTTAGGAAACTTTTCTACTGGGTTCGTAAATAAATAGTGGTTAGGATAGTTTTCTATAGGGTTCTTAAATAAGTAGCTGTTAGGAAATTTTTCTACTGGGTTCGTAAATAAATAGTGGTTAGGATAGTTTTCTATAGGGTTCTTAAATAATTAGTGGTTAGGATTGTTTTCTTTAGGGTTCCTAAATAAATAGTGCTAAGTATAGTTTTGGGTTCTTAAATAAGTGTGGTGGTTATAAAAAGGTTCTTAAATAAAAAGCTTATCAGAGAACGCAAACTTTTCTTTTTTTTTAAGGTTGACAGGAGGGTGTATACTTACCCGTATATAACGTAGGTGGAGTATATGGGATATGAAAGTGTATTCTTATCCGTGCAGGGTAAGTTAGTAAAGGTTAGGTATACTTACCCTTATAGGGTAAGTGAGTAAAGGTAAGGTACTTACCTGTGTGGGGTAAGTGAGTAAAGGTAAGGTACTTACCCGTACAGTGCAAGTGAGTAAAAGTTAGGTACTTACCCATATGGGGTAAGTGAATAAAGGTTAGTTACTTACCCGTGTAGGTTAATTGCGTAAATGTTAGATACTTACCTGTGTGGGGGTAAGTGAGTAAAGGTTAGGAACTTACCCGTGTAGGGTAATTGTGTAAAAGCTAGATACTTACCTGTGTGGGGTTAGTGAGTAAGGGTTAGGTATTTACCCGTGTAGAGTAAGTGAATAAAGGTTGGGTAAAAGAGTAAGATGAGAGAGTTCCCGAAAACTTGAAATATTATTTCCATGAAGATAAAGCATCTTTAATAATAATAGTGATAATAAAAATGAAAAAAACCCGACTGTCAGTTAAGTGTCAATAATAATGTACTTAGGCCATAAAGGGTAAAGAACTTAATTCAAGTGTTTAGGAGACAAATAAGCATTAAGTATTGAGTAAATGGGAAATAAACCTTTTATAAAAAGTTGAAAAGAGTCCATTAATATGTCAGGCTGGATGTGTTTGACGAATATTTAATGAAAATCAATATTCAAAGGCTTTATTTGCATAAATAATGTAGACAAGGTATACAAAAATATAATAAAATAAATATATCAACAACTTAAAAATTTCGAATATCATTAGGGACCTTTTAAAGTTATTATTTTTAATTTGTGTATTATTTTTTTACTTTTATTTTAATAAGGTACGATCTTCGAAAATACGAGCCCTGTTGCGTATAATTTTCAATTAATTTGAATAAAACTGCGTATTGTGTTGTATAATTGAAATTAAATTGATACAATTAATGTTTTAATTATGTCACATAAACGGGTGGCTTTTTACTTGTAAAAACATTATATCGAGCGGAAATCCAATAATGAGGAAACCTCATTAACATCGGAGTATATAGCTCTTAATTAGATTTTTTGCAAAATGTTAAATTTAATAATAATAATAATAACAATTTGCAAGCTACGCTAATTTATATTAAAAGAATTGATGGTAAAATTAAAAGGTTTTCGACTTTGACACAAACTTTGATTTTTCTAAATAATATCTTTGCAACCCAATGAAGTAGACCTAGGTATTTCAAACTATGAATTCTTTTAGATCACATATTATAAGATTTAAATATATCAAAGTTTTACACCATCAGGTTGCAAAGATATATGGACTAGAAAATTAAGTTTGTGGGTCAATTCCGTTTTTGTTCTAGAAAAAAAAATAACATAATTATATATTATCAAAGTTTTACTCAGTAAAAGTTTTATTCAGTGAAATCTTACGGTGAAAAAATAACTCACTCTAATATATCGTTGGTGATCATTTCAATGAAATTAAAGGAAAGATCTAACCAGGCAATATCTTCAGGTCTCTCTACCAAATCAAGAGTCAGCTGGTATAAACCACCTAAACCATTTCATGAAATTAAAGGATAGATCTAACCAGGCAATATCTTCAGGTCTCTCTACCAAATCCAGAGTCAGCTGGTATTAACCACCTAAACCATTTAATGAAATTAAAGGATAGATCTAACCAGGCAATATCTTCAGGTCTCTCTACAAAATCCAGAGTCAGCTGGTATAAACCACCTAAAGGCAATTCATGTCAAATTAGTGAAAATTTCACGCTTGATTGAGATCTTACACTCTTTTACTTTTCTATCATTATTGAAGAACAAAAAATGTTCCGAATTTCTAATCATGTAACCAAATAAATTTTCTTCTCTCAGGCTGGTGCGTAAACGACGATTTTTTTGTCGCTAGGTGTCGTTGGAGTCTGTTCCACTGTGAAACTCCAGAAGCATCGAGAGTATAAACAACTATGTGGCCAAAATATCGTCCTTTAAAGCATATTGAATGTGAAACAAGCAACAATTTTTATAAAATATCAACTGTATATATATGAAAATAAGAAAATGTCGTCTTCATTATCAAAAATCCTCGAAACAGGAATGAATGTTTTCAAAAAATATTATGAAATATCAACTGTATACGAATGCTTCGAAAAAAATCGATGATGATGAATAATTTGTTGGGAAATAAATTGATTTTTTTACGATCCGAGTTGTATATTGCAACTTTCTAAATTTGTATGGACGCTATTTTCTTCGGTATGAGTTGTTTTTATTGTATGGACGCTTCGTTCTTTCGACGTAAGCTACCCTCTTTTATTTTTCGCAAACATCCCCTTTAAGGTTTCATAACTTTACCACTTTTGACAAAAATACCATTACAATGAACAAACTGTAAGAATGATAGACAAGTAACATACATATTTTTGATTACAAAATAAGTGTACTGCAGTTTCTAGGTTAAATATATAACCTGGGTTTGTTTATATTCCACCCAGAAAAGAATTGAATCTTTGCCACAACTCAAGTTTCTAATCCCCATATAATTCAATCTGATGGCTAAAGAATTTTAGCCGCGGCTTAAATCTGAGAGGCGGCTCAAATACGGTTGGTTCCACTTAAAATTGTATTCAATGTTTCAAGGCGCTCAGTTGAATGCGGGTTTTTTGCGGATTTGAGACGCGGCTCAAATTCATTAAATTTGGATTCTGAAATATAAAAGAAACTAAGAAATGAGGGTTTCTGTTCTATTTTCCTTTGAACACAAATATTATTGAATGAGATAAATCTGTTAACTAAAATGTCAAAATATAAAAAATGGCTAATTTTAAATATTTTCAAGTCATTATCAAAATGCACTAATAATGATGCAATTAGACATTTACGCAAAATGCAATATATTTAAATCCATAATTTTGAACTTTAAGGGGCTGTAAGCGTAATTTCAAGTGACCTTTCATAAAAAGGTTTACAACAGCACCCTTACAAGCTTTGTCTGATCAAGTATGAGTTAGATATCAATCTTATAATTTTCAATTGTGATTTCTTTCCTGCAGGAATATTTAGAAATAAAAACTTCTAAACTGTTTCAAGGGTACCGTTGTGAATCAGGCATTGCAATCTTAGCATGTAGGTTAGCTTGAAATTACGCTTACATATACAGTATTTTTTGACAATGTCTCAAAATGTGCAGTGACGTATATTGGCAGAAAGAACTGTCACAAATTACTAATCTGTCATTCTTAATAATTAATGATTTGTGGGGAAAAAATAATTCTCTAATCAAATGTTCGAAATAAATTTGACGGATTAATCCATTTAGTGAATGCTGTCGCCCTTGTTTTACATTTAACTTATTTTCTTCTAAAATAACTGTAAACATAAGTTTTAGTGGACATTTTTATAAAGTCCAGTTTAATAAGGTACCCTTGAAAGCTCTGTTATAGCCTGTATAGGGACAAGGATAAATGACATGCCCAGTTCACAACGGTACCCTTGAAAGCTCTGTAGCCTGTATAGGGACAAGGATAAATGACATGTCCAGTTCACAACGGTACCCTTGAAAGCTCTGTAGCCTGTATAGGGACAAGGATAAATGGCATGTCCAGTTCACAACGGTACCCTTAAAAACTCTGTAGCCTGTATTTGGACATGGCTAAATGGCATGTCCAGTTCACAACGATACCCTTGAAAGTTCTGTATCCTGTATAGGGATTAATGATATGTCCAGTTCACAACGGTACCCATCAAAGCTCTGTAGCCTTACAGAAACCATGGATGAATTGATCACTTGAAATGACGTGCACAATAAGCTAAAACTAAATTACGTTCCTTGATAGTCTTACGTTCCTTGACTAGAATTAAAATTATAACGTTCAAGGTTTGCCCAATTTTCAAGGGGCGTTTTCTTTAGAGAGTTAAGTGCCCTATTTTTATAGGTATCTTTTTAATCTTTGTCTTTTTAATCTTTTTATATTTTAAAGAATGTTTAAAAACCAAACACTTCATCCTTTTGGTAACCGCCAAAAAAATCCTTGGAAAAAAGTTTCCGGAAAAAAATCCTAAAATTTCACACTAAGAAAGTTCTGTGTAAAAAAGTCCTTTCATTAAAAAGTCCCAGGAATCCAAAACACAGAACTTTTTTCCAGTGACTTTTTTTCCAAAGATTTTATTTCCAGGGTTTTTTCCAGAAACTTTTTTTCCCGGGACTTTCTTACATAGATTCATACTTTTTATCCGATCATAATAAAATTAATTCCACAATGGCTCTGGGTATGACTATGTGAACAAATTATTGGTCAACACTGCTTTGCATAAATCTCTTTGTCTCCTTGGGATGATTAGCCTACGAGGGAGAGCATTTTCCTACCTTACTGTACTTCAGTTGACAGGGATTTTTTAGTTATGTATTTTTCCAAAGGATTTTTCCCAAGTGGCAATTTCCCAAGGATATGTTCCCAAGTGTAAAGTTCTAAAATGTACAATTTCCCAAGAGGCAACTTCCCAAGTCTGTTCAATCCACAGCGCTCGGCCCCCAGCCTGTTCTAGCTGTGGGCTCGGCCCCCCCTAGCCAATCCTAGCCACAACGCTCGGCCCCCCATTGCAGCCTGTGGCGCCTCAGAGTGCCTAACCTAATCTTTGGGAAGTTGCCGCTTAAGAAATTGTCACAATTGGAAAATCGCCCTTGGGAAAGTACCTAACACCGTTTTTTCAATGTTTGGTTTTTTTAAACACTCTTTAAATCGGTAATTCTTGTAAATTTATGCAGCAGAGAAATTGAATATGCATGTTTTCAACGACACCGACGATAAACTTCACTCAGCTTAAATAGGTTATGAAGTACAATAGGTGGCAACAGAGAAATGGGCCAATTATACACGACGTCACAAGTGTAAAATATAACAATGAAAACGATATTGTATTCATTTTTGTTGACAGGTTTACCAAGTTTAAATAAAAAAGTGTAAAAACAGAAAATAAAGAACACTTAAATTACACTTAGTTTTCTGTAAGATAAGTACTTTATCCTAAAATTGTCAATATTATTAATAATTTTTTCGGACACAAAAACTGAAATGATACTTGTGACGTCAGAATACAGCTGTACTGAGAGTGTACAAATTCGACGCTGCCATCTATTGTACTAGAATCTATTTGCCTCTGCTAATCAAAACCCGGTTTAAATGGTTCCGTCGTGAATCCAGTCTGTAACTCTAAAAATAAGTTTTACTTAAATTACTTTGATAGTCCCTCTAAGTCTTGGTTTATCTGATAATAATTTTGAACTGACCTGTATCCACCAGATTGTTATTGGATAATCTGATCACATTGCTGTTATACCTAGATATTATAATGTATTTCTAGATTTAGGAGAACTAGGAGAACTAGAAGAACTAGAAGAACTAGGAGAACTAGGAGAACTAGGAGAACTAGGAGAATTAAGAGAACTAGGATAACTAGAAGAACTAGAAGAACTAGAAGAACTAGGAGAACTAGGAGAACTGGGAGAATTGGGAGAACTAAGAGAACTAGGAGAACTAGGAAAACTAAGAGAACTAGGACTAGGAGAACTAGGAGAACTAGGAGAATTAAGAGAACTAGGAGAGCTAGGGGAACTAGGAGAACCTGGAGATTTAGGCGAATTAGGAGAACTAGGAGAACTAGGAGAACTAAGAGAACTAGAAGAACTAGGAGGACTTGGTTAACTAGAAGTACTAGAAGAACTATGAGAACAAGGAGAACTAGAAGAACTAGGAGAACTAGGAGAACTAGGAGAACTAGGAGAACTAGGAGAACTAGGAGAACTAGGAGAACTAGAAGAACTAGAAGAACTAGGAGAACTAGGAGAACTAGGAGAAATAGGAGAACTAGGAGAACTAGGAGAACTAAGAGAACTAGGAGAACTAAGAAAGCTAGGAAAAGTTTAGGAAAACTAGAAGAACTAGAAAACCTTTGTAGGAGAACAAGAAACCCCGGAGATATAACACCATGAGTATAAAGATATTTACCTGCCAGAGGGAGATCGTCTTTGCTTTCTTAGACTTTTCCTTGGAGGTTTGGAGGGTATAGACTTGAGGGTTGAAATGTTTTTAAATGAATAATCCAATGGAGGGCCGTACTGTCCGCTGTTTAGATAGTTCTCCATACACAACTCTGGGTAGGTTCTCCTGCTTAGGTGATAATTGTACTCGGAGAAATATCCGTCCTTTCTTTGATAAAGTATCCGTTTCTACTTTCTATTCAGCTGTAAACTGAACTCAGAGCTGGATGTATTCTTCTAGTTCTGACGTCTAATGTGATCCAAAACCTAGTTTAAATAAAAGTTTTGAACCATATGTAGGTATTTAGAGGTCGGATTTAATGAATACGGAGAAGTTATTTTGGCAAGTTTATCTACTTCTCTATAATGCACTCTAGGCCACACGATACAAGAATTTCAAACTGGGACCGAATTTGATGAATTTGAGCGACGTTGCTGAACTCCCAACAGCCGGTTCAGCTTTGAACCACTGATTCAAAGTTAAAGATCCCAAGGAAGGATTTGAATCGGTGATTCAAAATTGAACCAACGGTGGTAGTTCACATTTATTAAATTCGGTACCTGTGGCCGACTTTAAAGAATTTGAGCGGTGGTTTAAATTAATGTCGCGGCTTAAATATGGTTGGTTCCACTTAAAATTGTATCAAATGTTTCAAGATTTAAGCCAGCGCTTAATTTAAACCGGGGTTTGGCAGATTTAAACTGCGGCTCAAATTCTTTAAATTCCATCTCTGGTTAAACCAATTCTTGCTTATCATTAATTTCAACCTCGTAGATGGTTTTTTTAGATAAGATGGAGTTTAGCTGCACATATTTTAACTTCTTAAACGACTTCTCAGTTCCGTTCATTGAACAGATTAGATCGTTAAGATTAATCTCATTCAAAAACGAGACACTTTTAAGTCTATATAGATTAAAATACAGATAGATAGATAGATAGATAGATAGATAAATAGATAAATTGCTAGATAGATCTATAGCTATACAGATTAATAAAATATTTAAGATGCCAGTAACAAGGCATAAAGAAATAAACGATAATCAATCAATCAATCAGATTAATAAATAGATAGATAGTAAATAAGAAAGCTAGATAAATAGATATTTATATAGATAGATATATAGATACCTGTGTTAGATATATATCAAGGAGCTCTCGCCTTTTTTCCGCGATTGGAGATGTCGAGACCCTTAACCGTTCTCTTAACCTAAAGTAGATATAATAAAATTTCTCTTAACCTAGAGTGTATATAATGTAATCTCTCTTTAACTAGAGTGTATATAATGTAATATCTCTTAACCTAGAGTGTATATAATGTAATCTCTCTTTAACTAGAGTGTATATAATGTAATCTCTCTTAACCTAGAGTGTATATAATGTAATCTCACTTTAACCTAGAGTTTATATATTGTAATCTCTCTTAACCTATAGAGTTTATATAATGTAATCTCTCTCTCTTAACCTAGAGATATAATGTAATCTCTTTAACCTAAAGTTTATTTAATGTAATCTTTCTTAAACGTTGTCTTAACCCAGAGTGTATGCACAGATACTAGAAAATGCATCAACTATTGACACAGGAACGATTTTAAAATGTCTTGAAGCTTTTACTTTTTCTAACCAACTTACTTCAAGTGTATAGTAAGTAAGTAGTAAGTAGTAGTATATGTAGCTCGGTATATAAAAGCACCAGTTTTTTAGGATTATTTATTTTATAAATTTTATAATTTCTGTGTGATAAAATAATAGCGTTTTTTTGCGGGGGAATTGTGTTCTTGCCACAAACTCAAATTGTCTAATCCCTATATTTTTTTGAACTAATGGGGTTTTTGATATTTCAAACTTACACTATTTGATTTAACAGAATTCTTAGTTTAAAGAACCGGGTTTGCAAAGATAAATTGATTAGAAAATCAGAGTTGTGGCAAAAACTCAACTTATCTTTCAAATGTTTTTTTTTGCACCAGAAGATGCTTAATCATTGTTTTGCGTCAGAAGGTGCTTAATCTTTTTTGCGTCAAAAGATGCTTATTTCAGTTAAGTTAGTTCGGTACTTTGTTTAGAAAGAAAAATATTTAATTTAAGACAATCAAATGTTGTGAACGACTCTCTTAACACAATTAAGAAAGTTTTTTTTTTTAAATTATTCATAACAATATCCGTTCATTTAGTTAACATCCATTAATCACAGCTTTCCAGGAAATGATTTTCCCTCTATTTTCATATTTATCGTTTATATAGACAATTAACTGAACTTTTGGACTGATTGTAAGGTTTCCAAGGAGAATCCAGAAAACGGTGAAACACATTGGACAAAAAGCCTAACTAATCAAATATAATTTGCCATTCGTGTTCTCAAAAATTGTTGATAAAGTTTGTAATAATTGCATCAAAATAGTGCCAAAACGTTTTGCAATTTCGGATAGATAAGTGATGATCTTATATAATTTGACATCTCTACGTCTAGTATTTGTAATGCCTAAAACTGTACATCTGTAGTCTGTACATCGTCGAAATTTCGTTCAAATTGAATTTCAGCAATTATCAAAAAATCTTGTCTTTTCTTTAGAAAGCTTAGAAAAAGAAGATGAAAAGATATTCAGCCTTTTTTATTATCAATTTTAACTTGAGAAAGTGTTTTATTTTATGGGAATTTACTGGTACGAACTTTAGACCTTACAACTTCTCATGTTTTTATACCTCCCAGCTAACTTGTTAAATTGCAAATCAGGAATTCAAACAAAGAGAATAGAATATATGTTAGATAGGAATTTACTAGAAAAAAGTGTAAAACGGCCATTTTGTTGTACTGTTTCCATACTGCAGGTGTACTTCACATATTTATGCTATATAACCGTTTGGGCCCTGGAATATCATTTTATAGAAAATCTAAAATTAATGTTAAAAGAGAACCAAATTATGAAATAGGCTGGTTTCATAATTGACCAATGATCATTTCACATAGACTCTATGCCTTTCACTTTACAAACGATGATTTTCCGTTAGAACTATAAATCAAATGATGTTTTTTATTCACCTAATTCATTATAAAGTTTATTTAACAGCTTTAAAAATTCGAAACTGAAATGAATAGTCTAGGGAACATACTGTAGTAATGTACTCTACTGCATATAATTTGTGAACATTTACATGATTTGTACACTTTGAACTCCCTTTCAGCCTGAAAGGGACTGGCAAAATTCATACCGAGGGATTCTCTAAATTCCCCTCTAATATATATTCTATTCTCTATGAATTCAAAACTTGTTTTTTGTACTGTACTGCACAAATGTAAACAAACCAACCTGTTTTCTTCAATATCTTTATTGTAAACTGTATTTCTGTCTATTCTTCTCTATACAAGGGGAACAATTTAATATTATGAAAAGAACTATAGTAAAAGGGGGTGCTGAGGGGAGATAGAATGGGGGGGAGGGGAGGGAGAGTTTGAAGGACATTTCGTGTTATTTTCCATTTAAATGTTGAGAAGTAAAACTGATTGTTTTTTCAAACAAAAACAAAAACAAATCAATATGAGGTTTTTAAACAAAAAAAGATAAAATATTTTTCATTGTCCTATGTTCCTTATTAATGAGCTGGGTTGGGTTTAGTTCTCCTCCTGCGCACTCCAGGATCAGCTCAATCCATCCTTCTTCTAGCGCAGTCAACCGGGACTCTCTGAAAACCAACAATTGTAATTATAACACCGATAATAATGATACTACTTCCTGAAAACCACAAGAAATTATAAAATCAATAATAATGATACTATACCACATTATTTAATGCTAATTATGCAACAGTAATTTAACTAATAATAATAATAATAAAAATGATAAAGTAGCATCAAAAAAATATTGTTTGTTTTATCCATTTTTTCCTTAAAATTATCCTTAAAAATAAAAAACCGTAAATATGTTTCTAAAAAATTAAATAACATCAATGTTGTGTAATAGACCTTTTCTACGAAATAAATATTTATATCTTAAAATCTTAAAAATTAACATTAATAAAAAATAGATATAATTACAACTGTATACAAGCAATTACTAGTTTGAGAACCCAGCGTTGCCAAGGATACCCATAGTTACTCCCGCCGTTTACACGCGCTTGGTCGTAAATTACGTGAATTACATCTACATATAACATTTGTAATCTTACATTTGTACATTTACAAATTACATTTGTAATCACACATAACTGTACATATAGATATAATATTTGTAATCACACATAAATGTACATATACATATAATATCTGTAAAGTTGTAAACTCTGTTTGTCTGTCAGTTTGTTTGTCCGATCATAACTCAGGAACCCTGGACCGATTTGTCTCAAACTTTGAGTACTGGAACTCGAGAGACTCACGGGAATGTTCTTAGCTTGGTTTTAAGATTCTAAGTTGAGTGGGTCGACTTTAATAGCGAAAATTTAGTTTCCCGGTAAAATCATTCAAATGCGGGTAAACGGTAAGAGTAACTTTTAGTTACCTAGTGGCAGCGCTGGGTTCCCAAGCTAGTAACCATATGATATTTGTAATCCTACATAACTGTACATATACATATAACGTTTGTAATCACACATAACTGTACATATATACATATAACATTTGTAATCCCACACAACTGTACATTTACAAATAATATTTGTAATCCTACATAACTGTACATATACATATAACGTTTGTAATCACACATAACTGCACATTTACATATAATATTTGTAATCCTACATAACTGTACATATACATATAATATTTGTAATCCTACATAACTATACATATATACATACATATAACATTTGTAATCCCACACAATTGTACATATATACATATAACATTTGTAATCCCAAACAACTGTACATTTACATATAATATTTGTAATCCTACATAACTGTACATTAACATATGATATTTGTAATCCTAAATAACTGTACATATACTATAACGTTTTTAATCACACATATAATATTTGTAATCCCACATAATTGTACATTTACATATAATATTTGTAAACCTACATAACTGTACATTAACATATAATATTTGTAATCCTAAATAACTGTACATATACTATAACGTTTGTAATCACACACAACTGTACATTTACATATAATATTTGTAATCCTACATAACTGTACATTTACATATAATATTTGTAATCCTACATAACTGTACATATACATATAGTATTTGTAATCCTACATAACTGTACATATACATATAATATTTGTAATCCTACATAACTGTACATTTACATATAATATTTGTAATCCTACATAACTGTACATATCCATATAACGTTTGTAATCACACATAACTGTAAATATGCATATAACATTTGTAATCCCGCACAACTGTACATTTACATATAATATTTGAAATCCTACATAACTGTACATTTACATATAATATTTGTAATCCTACATAACTGTACATTTGCATATAATATTTGTAATCCCAAACAACTGTACATTTACATATAATATTTGTAATCCTACATAACTGTACATTAACATATAATATTTGTAATCCTAAATAACTGTACATATACTATAACGTAAATGGCAGGACAAGGGAAATTTTGTGATTATTATCTCTAGAAATTTACTTCTAAAATTAGGATGACAAATAAACGCAGCAAATTATATCAAAAATCAAGACGACATTCAAGTCGTCCTGCATACTGTCATGTTTCGTGGGACACCCTGTATAATATTTGTAATCCTACATAACTGTACATTAACATATAATATTTGTAATCCTACATATAACGTTTGTAATCACACATAACTGTACATCTACAAATAACGTTTGTTATTACACAAAACTATACATCTACATATAACATTTGTCAACCCCATTAAGCTATAATTATTTCTTGCAACGAAGACACACAAGAGACAAGCTAGCGGACTAAACAAACACTTTTTCTATTATGTTTAATTGAATAATGGTGTGTTTACAGTATGTACTGGATATAATCAAACTGTCAATATTTCACTCAGCACGATATTGGGGTTTTATATTCTTATATTTCCCTCCGGGGGCAAATATTTTAAATGATTGGAATCTGTTGGCATGAAACTTTTCTATCCGCAATACAGGGGATACTAGTGGGGTAGAGAGATATATAGGGACACCTGGAGACATTGGAGAACATGAAGAACAAGGAGAACATGGAGAACAAGGAGAACATGGAGAACATGGAGAACAAGGAGAACAAGGAGAACATGGAGAACAAGGAGAACATGGAGAACAAGGAGATTATGGAGAACATGGAGAACAAGGAAAATATCGTGAACAAGGAAAACATGGAGAACAAGGAGAACATGGTGAACCTGCAGAACATGGAGAACAAGGAGAAAATGGAGAACAAGGAGAACATGGAGAACCTGCAGAACATGGAGAACATGGAGAACCTGCAGAACCTGGAGAACTAGGAGAACTTAGAAAATATGGCAATCCGGATAAATAGGAGATTTTGGATATTTAGGAGAAGTAGGAAAACTATGAGAACTAAAAGAACTAGGAAAACTAGCAAAACTAGGAAAACTATGAAAACTATGAGAACAAAAAGAACCAGGATAAATAGGAGAACTAGAAGAACTAGGAGAACTAGAAGAACAAGGAGAGCTAAGAGAACCTCTATGAAAAAGTGTACTGGAGAAACTGAAGAACCAAGGTTTCCAAGACGGTTGATTGAATAATACATGTCTAGGAGAACTAGGAGAAACAGGAGAAACAGGAGAACTAGGAAACTAGTAGAACTAGGAGAACTAGAAGAACTAGGAAAACTAGCAGAACTAGTAGAACTATGAGAACTAGGAGAACTAGGAGAACTAGAAGAACTAGGAGAACTAGAAGAACAAGGAGAACTAAGAGAACCTCTATGAAAAAGTGTACTGGAGAAACTGAAGAACCAAGGTTTCTAAGAAGGTTGATTGAATAATACATGTCAAGGTTACGAAACATTAATAATCTCACCTTCAACAATAAATATTGTTTCTGCATGACACTTTCAGGGTGTTTTCATGCAGTAGCAACAATCGTAATGTTTGCAAAAAAAATGTAATTTTTGCAAAAATATAAGGGTTTAAATTTATGTTTCAAGGCTTTAAAGATGTAAACTCGAATTTCCTAAGATTTTTCCAAATATCTTGAAAAAGAAAATGTTTTATGGTTAAAGGAGCTGATAACCTTACAGACCTTTTCATTCAAAATAATCTTAATTTCCTGCTTTTTTCAGGAAACCATATTTTTTTTCATTCTTAGGTTTTTTTTGCAAACTTTTAATGATTTATTTCATGACCTAAAAGATTCCAATTCTTTCTAAGGAATCCTTTATTTTTATTATCCTTGGCCTAGTTTGTGGGGATTGTTCCCTTGAGACTTTTTCCAGGTAAACCAGTTCTTTCAGAAAATAAGTTTATAACCTTGAATTCGTGATTAGTTTTTCAACTTATTAACTTATTAACTTTAAGGCGTTAAACGTTTAATTTGACGTTTTAAATTGCAGTTTGCAGAAATTTTTCAGAAATACATAGTTTAAAGTGTACTATGAGAATTCCGCTGTAAACCCCAATCCTGAGAATTGTACATCTGCTGCCACTTTAATATGTTAACTTGTCATATTATTGTATAATAAATATCACTAACTTATTACTTACTTAATTTGAATCCTAATTCCAAGTATTCTGTTCCGAAAAAAAGCTATGCGATATTTTATAAAAAGAATATAAAAATATAAAAAAAAAACATATAAAATCAAAAATATCTTTTTTGATTTAGTTTCCACAACATGTTTTTTAACTTCTTTATTTCAACCTTTCCGGTCCCAGTTTGTACTGTATAGATTAGACATTAGGTTGAATTTACTTTTACTAAAGGGTCAGAGGTGCGTGTGCGAAAATATTGGCACGGAAAGAAGTAAGTCTAAAAAGTTCCATTTAATGAAAACTGTATAATATTTTAAATTTACCAGAAATATAATTCGCTAACTTTAAAAAAAATGCAGTTTATAAGTAGTTCATTATTTATTAAACAATTGCAATTGCAAGTTTTATATGCACTCTATATTGTATTCGAGGAATTTCTACAGGCGTAATGTCAATTTAACCTCCAGGCAAAGATGGCAATGCCAGATTTACAACGGTACCATCAAAAGCTTTGTGTATGATCGAGTTTAAATTAGATATCCATGTATTTGTTAATTTAAACTGTTTATTCTCATTTGCGTTTTCTCTGCAAAAGAGAATTGCGCATTTCTTGCTTCTAACATGGAAGCTATGGAGAAATTCATAAAAGTAAATACTTTTTGAGTCATTTTCTATATTTTTATCAGATTAAGGTTTTAAGGTTTCAAGGTTTGCAAGGTTTCAAGGTTTCAAGGTTTCCCTAGCTTTGAGACTCAGTTTCGGAATGAAATAAAAATTCTAACCGATCCATAGCGTTCTTTGTTTGTATTTAACAGTCTCTATCTAAACCCCTCTCACTTCTTAAACAAACACTTTAATAATCCCTTTAAAAAAAATTGTTAATTGTAAAAATAAAAAGTGCTGAACAATAAGATTTATTTAAAGGAAATTTTCCCTGTTTAAAAGGAATAGTTTGAAAAGAATGAATCAAATTATTCTTATAGCAAAAAAAAACTTTTAAATGTTGTTAATTATGTATTAGA